TGTTAAAAGAAAAAGAAATAGTACCTGTGCGCATGCCAGTAAAAAAAACCCTAAGAGTTCGCGCATAAAAATGCCCGAACGTACCAGGCGCCAGGTCATCCAGCATTGAATTGGACAAGTACCCCGATGATTTGAACACTGTAACCAAAACTATCCATGGCAATAATCACAAGCTTATAGGCATTGTTAATCAATTCCTGACAACTACTGGGCATCGGTCTATCATGACGACTGTGTAACGTTTAGTGACAAAGACATTCAAAATAGACTGAAGACAAAGACTAGGAAGCTGGGTAAAAGTAAGGCTAAGTCCAATAAATCTATAAGATCATGCGACGATTTTCTTGACACCCCATTTTCCCCCGGTATAACGAATAGCGGACGAGACTCCATCGGCAGGATATTAATAAAATTAATTTCATAAATAGAGAGACTCGGGTATCTGCCGATGCGACTTTGACTGATTTATGTAGGAAAAATAGGTATTTGCGGCGGTTGTCAAAATATCATAAGAGAACAATCGCCAAGTTAAAACATCGACTTAGGAAGACTAGAAAAGAAATGATTCGCATGTAGGCTAATAACGAAAATAAATTTAAAAAAATTGGCAGGTAAAATAAAATTGGTTGCAAGTCCAAACCTTTTAAGAAGAACTAAGTACTTTTGTATGATGTCGAAAATCAAAGATACACCCCAGAATGCCATAATTTGGTAATGGAACTTAAAAATCTAAACGTTTCGAATGATAACTTAGCAGCGGTTATAACCGCATGTTTGACTGTCGCGGGACTAAAATCTAATTACACTCCATTAAAATCTACAGTTCAAAGAATATTATGTGAGCCCGTCGGTGTATCTTTAAAACATGTTTCGGAAACCTTAAAGTCAGCGAAAAATACCACATTATATACAGACGAAACTACAAAATTTGATTCTATTGACTGGACACATACGCTACAAATTCTAGTTCTTCGTGAAATGGCTGATAATATCTGCGCAAACTACATCAAACATTAACCGAAATATTGGCAGATCTCGACGAAATTGCTGGACCATTTAGTAAAACCGTTATTTCCGAAATTAAAATACAATGTCATACAGGGCCTGCACCGAAAAGCTGTTTGATTCCTTATGTTCGCAATACAGAGGCAGTGTTTGCGCTAAATTAGTAGAATATTCAAAAAATCATTCTTAGGATACAACCTCGACACCAGTCCGCCCTGAATTGCAATGTTTGTTTTGTGTTCTGGGCGCCATTTTGAATATAGTACAATCCAGCGATAGTGTAGTCTAATTCCTTTAAAAGGGAATCCGAATTTGTTAATTTTCTGCAATATCACTTCGGTGGAAGCGGACGTAAAATAAAGCTATTTCACGTACAAAGACCTACAATAAAATCCAGGTGGATTGGGAAAAATATTCATGTATTTTCTTGATGAAGAGTAGCTATTTCAATTTGTAAATGACCAGTCATCTTAGACAAATAATAATTCCAACTTCAAATCAGTTGTATTTATTCAAATCATACCATGAAGAATTGTATTTTTCCACTTGCATAATAATAAAAACTTGACTTTTATTATTTTATTTCTTCAGGCCAAGAGCATGGAAAATTGGTAATTGCCTTGTATCACTGCTAACTATAAATCACAGGGAGCCTTGGGCAGAAATGATAATATGGTTCTCAGATATGTTACTGTGTACAGACTGAACAGAAAATATTTATACACTTGCTATTACAGTACTGGCCAAATTAATAGCAATTTTTTCTAAAAACGTTGCAGAAGTAACTCACTAAAATTGAAGTATGAATAAAATCATACACCGTGAATATATTGAACTGAATATTCTTACACATAACCATAGGCGTACGGTGAAATTTTTGACTGGGGGGCGGTGGTGGTTGGTGCCCCAAAAATGTAGTTAGGTTCTTAGTATGTTACATAATAATAATAAATTCGCTGTTAAATTGGACACATTCAAGAACACAATATTTCTTTATACAACTTTTACAAAGTACAATTGTGTGCCCAAATTTTCCCAGCATTTGGTTCCCAAATCGAGCGTGAATCAACTGAGTTTCTACTGAAAATTTTTTGAGTGATATGTATGAACTGTCTTCACACATTCGGTTTATAATTAGCGATACACAGGTAAAGTGGCAAGTGTTGTACGTCACAGACTGTTTACCTTCGAACTACCTCCGCACGAAATCCCCGATTTGGGTACTTGTTAAAAGAAAAAGAAATAGTACCTGTGCGCATGCCAGTAAAAAAAACCCTAAGAGTTCGCGCATAAAAATGCCCGAACGTACCAGGCGCCAGGTCATCCAGCATTGAATTGGACAAGTACCCCGATGATTTGAACACTGTAACCAAAACTATCCATGGCAATAATCACAAGCTTATAGGCATTGTTAATCAATTCCTGACAACTACTGGGCATCGGTCTATCATGACGACTGTGTAACGTTTGGTGACAAAGACATTCAAAATAGACTGAAGACAAAGACTAGGAAGCTGGGTAAAAGTAAGGCTAAGTCCAATAAATCTATAAGATCATGCGACGATTTTCTTGACACCCCATTTTCCCCCGGTATAACGAATAGCGGACGAGACTCCATCGGCAGGATATTAATAAAATTAATTTCATAAATAGAGAGACTCGGGTATCTGCCGATGCGACTTTGACTGATTTATGTAGGAAAAATAGGTATTTGCGGCGGTTGTCAAAATATCATAAGAGAACAATCGCCAAGTTAAAACATCGACTTAGGAAGACTAGAAAAGAAATGATTCGCATGTAGGCTAATAACGAAAATAAATTTAAAAAAATTGGCAGGTAAAATAAAATTGGTTGCAAGTCCAAACCTTTTAAGAAGAACTAAGTACTTTTGTATGATGTCGAAAATCAAAGATACACCCCAGAATGCCATAATTTGGTAATGGAACTTAAAAATCTAAACGTTTCGAATGATAACTTAGCAGCGGTTATAACCGCATGTTTGACTGTCGCGGGACTAAAATCTAATTACACTCCATTAAAATCTACAGTTCAAAGAATATTATGTGAGCCCGTCGGTGTATCTTTAAAACATGTTTCGGAAACCTTAAAGTCAGCGAAAAATACCACATTATATACAGACGAAACTACAAAATTTGATTCTATTGACTGGACACATACGCTACAAATTCTAGTTCTTCGTGAAATGGCTGATAATATCTGCGCAAACTACATCAAACATTAACCGAAATATTGGCAGATCTCGACGAAATTGCTGGACCATTTAGTAAAACCGTTATTTCCGAAATTAAAATACAATGTCATACAGGGCCTGCACCGAAAAGCTGTTTGATTCCTTATGTTCGCAATACAGAGGCAGTATTTGCGCTAAATTAGTAGAAAACTGGTCAGATTTATCAGATTCGGAGCGAAAGATTCATATGAATATTAATCATTTCTTGTGTGGTCTTCATTTATTTACTGGTTTGGCAGATAAAAGCGCTCTGGTATTGAAGAAAACTGAAGAACTGTATTTTAAAACGTTCTCGGCCCAAATGTTTAAAACCGCTAACGAATCGAGGTGTGTTCGATTGGTTCGAACTATTTGTAAGGCCTTTTACTCAAGGTCACGATGAAATGTGTTTTGTTAAATGTTATTTAGCGCTTTGGATGCCTTATAAATGTATAGAAAATAGAACCCGACAAGTCGACTTGTCGACTTCTTCATAAGGCGACGATTTAGATGACATTTGAATGGCCGCTAACAGCCACCATATTATTCAACAACGTATTCTTTTTTCATAACAAACATCATGTGGCACCTCTCATTCCATTATGTTTTCCTCTATTTTATCCGACAAATTGTTCTTTAATCATAACAAACATCATACTGCACAATATATTATCTATGGGACTAACATTAAAGTGTTAAATTATTAGAAAATGCAATCGTCTCATACTTAGCGCCAAGGAAATAAACGATGTTTCCCGACTGCGACTGTGATTTGAAATTTAGTGTCACAAAGAGTTAACTGCCTTGATAGTGTGCTCTGAACATATTTTTAACCAATTTTTCAAACATGCCAAAATGGTTATATCTTCAAAAATCAAACGTGGCCAGACTTCGATTGTTGATGAATGAAGTTTTTATGGTAAGTCTTACCATATAATGCTAAAATAAGCTCGAATTATTGTCTATGTGTTGTCAAATTTGTTGAGGTTGGACCACTCTCTATACGGTCCATGATCACATCACATTGTATAATATGTCAGAACGTTTATCGACCCTACGATCGTATCGACCGGCGGCTGCTGAACATAAATAAAACATGTACTCACAGCCTGACGTTGTTGACCTATTTACTCAACAATGCACGGTTCAACATAATATTTTTTCAAATGTTCTGTTATATTTTTGTTTCTGTGGGTTTAATATGCGAGATGAATATATGTTATGTTGGATGGGAAGTACATAGAAACATATAATTTAATTAAAGAAATGTACGATTTCTTGTTTTTGATTTGTGGGCTATAGGCGACAGACTTAAATAATTATATTTTTTTTTACGACATGTTGACTTTATTGTTTACTAGCAGGTTACGTGGCTTTGTTCCGGGGCCACAATTCGCAAGGGGGTCCAATTCGCCAAGAGCCCAAATTAGCTCATGGCCCAAATTAGCCCGGGTTCCGATTCGCCCGGGTCGCAAATTGATCATATTTATATATATTTATCTCAATCGTAAAACATCAGTGATCGATATTTCGGAATGTTGGCCGTATGTCTAAATGCAAAAGGTTTGTGTTTCGTTAATTTAAATCATATTACCTAGGAAACTTGGCACACGTCCACGTGAAGAATCCAATATTTGTTTCAGCGCTGTTTTAACACAACTGGTGAGAAGGAGTAACGATTTACAAACAGCGATTAATAGTCGTAATGAAAAATAGAATAGCTTGCTTGGTTCGGATTCACTGAACTTGATATGTATATCTTCACCTTTGTTATGGCTGGATTACTTCAAACTGATAACGAGGTCACTAGTCGACTGAACTTGTTTATGTCACGATCCGCTTCAACTTCGTTATAATAACTATTCGAATCGGTAGTTTGTAGTACAGTGAATCGCCTGTTATTGCAGGTCTTTCTCTAGGCCTGAAATGTTATATGAATTATTAAAGATACATTATATAAGATTTAGATAAAGAGCTAGCCATTCTTACTATAACAGTTAGAAAATAGATAATTCTAAAATGAATAATTTGGAAATTCCATTCAAATTACTCTATTGCGAGCGAAGATATTAGTCTTTGAAGGTTTGACAAGACGTGTGCAATAATTTCAACCACCGTATTGTTGTTCGAAGCCAAATCTCGCTCCTCCATTTTTAGCTTAAATCAAAATATGGCTGAACTGTTTTAATCTATTTAATATTGGAAAAATCCGATGCCATCGAGAGTTGATTATGGCCTGGATAAGTTAATTAATGTCTAATTAATAATTTAGAAAACATTTCAGGCCCAAAGAAAGGCCTGCGATAAGCAGATTTAGCTCTTGCATAATATATGTTTAAATAGACAATAAATAACTTACCAAGACCATAATCAACTCTCGATACCATTGGGTGGCTGCGATAAATAGATTTAAATACGTTTTGTAGTCGATACGGTTACCGTAAAAATGAATGAGACTTTGTTTATTATCGTAACAACAGTAGTAATGATAATCGAGGCTAGCCTATAATTGTATCGCCGATATCTAGACTCAAATTGAAGTAATTTGACTGAAATGTTCAACATATTCTCCTTTCAGTATCCATTTTGAACTATTATGCCGAAAACTTTTAGCTTTTTATCTAATTGTACCTAATGCCGGTTTAAGCTCTTGTCGTACAACGAGTAGGTGGTATATAGTTGGGTATTTAGTAACTACGCCATCCAGTGAGTAAATGTTTTATGGCAGTTATCCAGTATACGATCGTACCATCAACATTTATGCATTGCAATTCCAATGGGTTATAATATCAGTGTTATTGTGATAAGTCACGAACCTGGTATCGATGGTAAGGTACAACTCGTCCAATTCAAACTACCGACTCTGTTTCGCCTGTTTCATAATATCTATCTATGTAAAGTGTGCGACCTGTCGACCCTCTTTTGTGACCAAGGTGTCATATCACTGTTTAAATATGAAAACTAGTCACTCTAATCATAACATAACGATGTAATGGGGTTGTCCACTCGCGCATCGATTCTCGGGTGGCGCCACTGGAGTATAGGTTAGTCTTTTCATAGCAGACAGCAAATCATGCGGAAAATAATTACGGTCGATTTACTGTTGCGAAATTGAAAGACGAGTTAACTAAATGAGGTGCAATTGCAACGGGCAGAAAAGAGGCACTTATTGAGAGGCAATAAGTGTTATCGAGTAAACATTATAGACCTAAGTATGTCCTGTTTCCATTCCAGCGATACCTTAATGTGAAATTATTGTCCTTCTTCAGGACACGGAACCTCGTTTTTTTTTATCCCACGTTGTCCCTTGTCAGGTCTTCCGTCCTACACCACTGACAAGAGTAAACCCCACCAGAAAAATCCCGGGCAAACGTCCTACTCACTGAGCCGCCGTAACTCACACTTCATTTCGATTCCAGACACGGGACCTCGGTGTTTTGTTTTATCCCATTCGAACGACTGACTATACGTTGTCCCTTGCCAGGCCCTCCGTCCTACACCACTGACAAGGGTCAACCCCGCCAGATAAAACTTGATGAACATTGATGAAGTAAGAGTGCAAACGTCCTACTGACTGAGCCGCCGTAGCTCCCATTATTTTCATTTCGATTCCGGACACGGGACCTCGTTTTTTTTATACCATCCGAACGACTATACGTTATCCCTTGCCAGGCCCTCTGTATTACACCACTGACAAGGGGAAACCACGCATGAAAAATCCCGATGAACTTTGATGAAGTTAGAGAGTAAACGTCCTACTCACTGAGCCACCGTAGCCCCCACTTCATTTCGATTCCGGACACGGGACCTCGGTTGTTTTTATCCCATCCGAACGACTATACGTTGCCCTTGCCAGCCCCCCCCCCCCCCGTCCCACAAAACTGACATGGGGGAGCCACGCATGAAAAATCCCAATGAACGTTGATGAAGTTATACAGAAGATTTAAATTGAATACAGAATTCAATACTATATGTGAAGAACAGATTGAAATTGGTTAGGACTATTACTGATGCTAGTTATATGTTTGATAGGCCCTAATTTCATTTGGAATCCGGGTGAGAGATTCCGCTCGGTGTATTGCTTCACAGTCAGAATATACTCCATCTTGTGGTAACTATGTATTGTGACCTCACATCTTGTGACAACTATATTTGACATCATAAATTAGTATGCATAGATAGTTATTTACATTAAAAGATCAAACTTCTTTTTTGAGTGTTATTAAAGAATTTATTGTTATAGCATAGATAGTTATTTATATCAAAAGACCAACTTCTTCTTTTTGAGTGTTACTAAAGAATTTCTTATTGTTACAGCTTTGTAAATGTATTAATTGGTTTTATATTTTATTTTTAACTTTTTCCACGTTTTCACTTAAAAATGTGGTATGTGTTTTCTTGAAAATTAATAAAAACTTACCAAAAAAATATTTTCTTTAAATAAGTTCACATAAACAGCTTCATTCTGGGCTTTATTTCATAGACATTGACAGAAAACTAGAGCAGGTAGGATGTAGGATAAAATTGATATAACGTCGGCGGCCATATTTGATGACGTCATACCGGATAACCTAGCAAAGCCTTGTATATACGGATTTGTAACCTACCACGTAGTGAGTGTCCACGCAAGTTCAAAATACTCACTTTGGCACCCACTAAACATTTCTACAAAACAATTCTCCCTACCCAAACTTTCCTACAGAAGCATGGTCAGATTCTGGATTAATACACCATACAGTGTTCTATGGGGGACATTTTGCCCAGAAATCGGGCTGTGCCCTATCTTATATCGAATTCAAAGGATCTTTTACGTGCATGTCGGTGTGTACACGGGAACTCGGTTTTTCGACCCATCAAAACGACCAGACAGGTGTCCTTGTGAGGCCCTCTGTTCTGCACCACTGACAAAGGGAAATCACGCCGAAAAATCCCAATGAACTTTCCATGTCAACCCAGTGCACTCGCGAGCCAGTGTCTCACTCACTTAGCCACGGTGACCCCCGATGTGTAAGAGAACCACGACATTGAACTTATTAATCATATGCCCTTTAAGAAAACATTGTCAAATAATAACAGAACAAAAACGAAAATTATATTTATTGGAGATTTTCTTTTCTTCTAACATTTACATTTAGCTTTATCTGCTTGTGGAAGACTCTTCACGTGAACTAAATGGGTTAAACCTGAAAATACACACATAATAATTATACGTAAATTACTGTTGAGATGATACTAATAAAAAATTAATGTATTCTAAATATAGGTATACATTCCTTAGAAATCAATATATAAATATATAAGCTTACTCTTCCGGACACCTGTTACCACTGTTTGTCGTGTATTGTACACTATTTTGCCTATAACGTTTTTTAGGACTTCGAATTCTGTCTTATGGTTTGGATTGTTCGTACTTGGTTTTATTTTATTGCAACTATGTGAAATTCTGTTCACATATAGTTGGTACTAGCATACAAGCTGTATTGCCGATAAAACACAACCTTTTGATTATTTTCAAAAAAGCTTAATATTTTGAGCTTTACATTACTAGTATATTTAACACCAAAGGATTTTATATTATTTTCAAAACTGTGATTTGAAATGGCGATATATTCGAATGCCGTTAAGATGTATAAAGGCTATTAAACTAGACTGGAATATTTAACCCCACTCGTATACTCTGTGAAATCTGACAAGGTACGTTTAAATTCACAGCAGGGCTGCCGACAACCAGTATCGCAGCGCAATTTGCGATACATATTTTGTCCGTTGCTAATCAAAAATTAAAATCTAACGTTTTTGATTCGCAGTAACTGCGAATCATTAATATGCCTGTCATTATGGATATTGACACAAGGATAATCCACTTTCAACGTGTATAAAATGCCGAATAAAATTTTATAAACAAAACTGAATTCTCCGTGTGACATTTTCTTCTCGAACTACCCAGACACAATTCATTATACTACATGTATATAATAAAGGGACATAACTCTATGAATAGCGACTATTAAACCGGAAATAGGGAATCAAGTAGTACCACTCACGTTGCGGGACATGTCAATTTCAAGTAATTATATCAGAAAACATTTTGAAAGAAATAAATCCAGTGTATGCCCGCGTATTGTAAATAAAATTTATAAAACTAAATACATCTTAACGTATTGTAACATGATAAATCAAAGTAAGAATTCCCGTAAAATATTATTGTTCATATCGCGTGTGTCTAGTTAATAATAATAAAGGTGCGCGCGATTGAACCAAAATAGTAATACACGATAAAAAGCTGACGAAATTGTTTTCTAAAGAAGATTTCTAACGTAACAAAGAAATAACAATTAAAATGAGTAGGGCTTCGGAAGTCACTGCCAAGATTTGGCTTCAGACATTCACATTCACAAACTGTCACAACTACATGTGGCAGTGCTAAAAAAAATCTAAGAATGAAATCTAATCATCATATTTGTTATGAATTAAAGTAATTTCTTGTTATTTAGGTGTTTTATGTTGAAACTGAAAAACTGCTAATCAATTTTTATATTTGCTAATCAAATTTGGCGAAATTGGACTTTTTGATTAGCAGTGCTGCTAATCAACTGTGAAAAATTACCGACAGCCCTGATTCACAGTAGTAAGCGCATCATGTCTCTTTATTGCTTCTCACATTTTATTTCGACCTTGTGAACTTGGCCTGTAACACGTTGACTTATCAGTAGTTGGTTATCAAATTAACAAGTAGCCTACTAGTATTAACCGACCTTATCAAAAGATACAGGAGACAAAGATTACCACTAAAAGACAACGTACCTGCAAGAGCTGATTGGAAGCCCGAATTATAATCACAGGCTACTTCATTATGGACGTAATCGTCTCGTTTATCAGTATACTGATCTCTGGCATCTGGTCCACCAACTAGAGCTCCAACTAACACATGAGGACTAGGACTAGAACTGTGGAGTACATTAGAACTGCATGTTTGGGGTATATTAGGACACGATCTAAAATGAAAAATATCAATCTATTCAATATTTTTAACGTCCCCATACGGCCATTACATATACCTTTACTCTTCCGCTGATCTGAAACCAACAGGACAACAGGAGTTTCCATACCCCGTTTTGAATAGGTCTGCTATAAGTAAATCGCATTTTAGTACGTCTTTATTTTAATTTCCAATTGGCCACATTCCTGTTTAAAAATTTCAAGTATTTCAAGTCTAAATAAAAAAAAATTATACTTAGAGAGATTAACACAGCTGCGATTTGGCTGACCCTGTAGTGACGTTATATCTGTCGGAGGTGTTTGCAGCGTAGTGCTGAGATTAGAGGCGAAATTCTAATGGTCTGAAACGAATCTTACTATATTTTGTTCATTCTGAAGATATGTGAATTAATTCTACTCACGCTGCTCTGTGGTGAGGTCTCAATGGATATTTATTACCGAAACCAATCATATAGCTGAAACATTTATTGTTGTCGCCAAGAATATAGTTGATCTGACTCTGGGCCCATTTTCGGTATTGTAGGGCGTTGATGCCATGATCAGCAGCCATTAAAGCAACGAATGCGGAGTTAGCTGCGGAAAGATTTATAATTATTACATACACAAACACACCATGATAAGTTGTGTGAATATTCCAAATTGTTGCAACTGAAAAGTTGTATTTCATTGGGGGGGGGGGGGGATGGCTGCATGGTTAGCGTGCGCGCGCTGTATCATACAGTCTGTCATTGAGTCGACTGGCGTGGTTTCGAATCCCCGGTTGTACGTGACAAGGAGTAGGGTCGCCTGTCCAACCTCGTGGGTTTTCTCCGGGTCCTCCGGTTTCCTCCCACTGCTAAAGACCCCTACGCGCAAGCGAATTATAGAAATAAAATTAAACCATATGTTAGTTTGTGTCGAGTGGACATTAAACCTCATTTCTCTCTCTCTCTCTCTCTCTGTATTTCATTGAAAGAGTAACATACCCTGTCTCGTGTAAGACCCTGTCATTCGCCACTCCTTAAACCATTTTGACACAACAACCTTCTTGGAACGTTATGATGCGAATAGGGGAGATATATAATATGATGCACGATATCAAGAATATGCGTACAGTGTCTAGGCAGTATTTATATATCGTAATTTTTCTGTGGAGTGGACGTCACTGTGGAGTGAACATCCCTTTAATAAATATAGTCAAGCTATAAGTATTTTGTTTTTCAGATTTTTCGTTTGATGTAGTGTTCCGTTTTATAATTGTTTAATAAAATGTTTATGCTTTCATGAAGCCAAAATTCGTAGAAATAAAAGTTAAAAAAATATATTTTTCGAACTTACCTGCATATCTGGTGGAACCCCATTGGTCCCTCCAGGCTAATCCACAAGGGGTATATTTGATAGAGCCACCAGGTAGCCAACCCTTAAAGTACCCCTCTACTTCCGTCTTGTAAGCGTTGTCCTTAGTGGCTTCAAACAACAACAGCTAAAAAAAAAACTAATACGTCAACACACGAATGACAAAGTTGTCGCAACCCCATGATCTAGTTATAAGTTCCATTCATAATACAATCCATAAAACCAATGCATATATTAAGCAAGTTGCGATCTGTATCCTGTTGCACGGACAACCCACAAAACATACTTGTTTTGAGAGGGAAGTGTAAATCTTGCCTCCACTCTCAACACTAGTAATGGAAATTTGCATCCCCTCAACACGAGCCTGGTAATTTCATGACTTGTGTGGCTTTTTCAATAATCCCGATGCGCACAGGTTTTGTTTGTACATTTGAAGTAAGAGTAAACCTACATAAATGAAATATCCACGGTTTAGACTGGTGAAGCTGCCTCATGTCACGTAAACCCACGGGATCACGCTCCTAAATAGCAAAGATAACGCACATTATACCCCCCCCCTCCCCACCACCACACATACACACTTATATGAAATATGTGATATATCAAATAAAATTGATATGTAACAAAATCATAAACTAATATAACAATATAAGTCAGTCTACCTGGCAAGCAACTTTCTTATCATCCCACGATAAAGCCCAAGCCCAGGCGTTTTCGTGATAACTTTTAGCTTCATTCAGGTATCCCTTATCTCCTGTAGCTTTATATAACCATATAGCAGCTTCACACAGTTCATCCTTGTAACCACTAGATCTGTTAATGTACAGAATTACTTTAATTCAATTTGTCAGCCATGCGCATCCAATCTATAGGTAATAACGCAGTTGATATAATTATTAACTTACAACACAGGACTAATCTTGATGAAACCAGTTTTATCACGTCATCACATATGTAAAATTAGTGGGCACCATCATTGTCCTTTAAATAATGAGATTCCCAAATCAGCGTTGGCAAATACGCCTGACCGGTCGTATTAAAATACAATATTATTAGTGCACTTCCATGTCGTCTTTCAAGGCTGAAGTGTCTAAATAGCAAAAATCCGAAATTGGCAAGAACATTAAAGCCATATTGTGGAAAAGGGATAGTACCCCTCACGTGTATTTCGCTAGTTTCAACTTTTTGTACCTCTTCGAAAAGGAACCTAATTCTCCATCAATTTGAGTACGATCGACATGAAACTAGCCATGCTTGTTCTTTAGACACTTGCACATCGATTGACGGACTTTGTGATGTAAAGTTACAATTTAAATATGTCGGGGAAGCCGTCATGTTCGGTGCTCTCTCCACATAATACTCCAATACTTTTTGTTACAATGTAAACCCAAAAACAAAATGATAAAATCGTGATCAATCACACTCATTGATCCACGCGTTGTTTTTATTTTATCAAATTTAATACAACTTACGAATAAAACTGAGCAGCATTATGGATGCTCTGACTGTAAATTCCTTTGTGGGATTTAGCGAATGTGTACAGACTTTTGGCGGCAGTAAGCAGTTTTCCAGAATATCCATGATCTAATTTAAAAAAAACAATACTAAAATACATAATTGTGTTCGCTGGTTCTAATTCATTTTCTTGCCATTTAATCATCATGTTATTTCTAGCTAAAGGACTTCATTCTCTATACTATGTTCAAAGAGAAACATGCAGTGATCTAAACCGTGGGACGTACTATTCTCATTGTGGACGTACTATTCTCATTCTCCCGGAAGTGATTATCATAATCTCATTTGTGTAATTCATAGACCAGTAATAGCTGCTGATAATAATAACTACATGTATAATGTATTCGCCATTTACTTTAATGGTTGTTTTCGTCTATTTGACTGACTCCAACTTTTCCCAAAATTGTCGTTGGGCTAACACTTTCTACCAGAGACAGGGTAACACGTATGAGGATCGCCCAGGAATTCTTGTGATACACAAACATGAAGCAGCATACTAGTAAACGTGTAACTATCCGCCCTACATTTCCGCGTAACCACGCTCTAAACTGTGCCGTGTTATCAATCCGCCTAAAAATCATGAATATACACCAAAACCTGGTAGAAAATGTAAATTTAAACCCTTTTTTCGATTATACACAAAATACGTCAACAAATGTCAAAAGAAGAAATGTAGAAAAGCAACAGATGGTGGCAGATAGAGTGTTAGAAAAATGGGTTTCGCATCCACTTGATACTAACCAGGTCACCGTGATCATTGGTAGACCCGCATAACACAGTTTGTTGTTTAAGGACGTTTTTTTTATAATTTCGTGCAATCCACATTATACAATGGAATGGAATTAAATGCGGTTTAATATCTTGTCATGTTGTTTCTCTGTGTTGGGTGTCCGATGTGAGGTAGGATAATTTTGCCCATGTACTCATTCGTTTGAAACTGTCTATGATTCTTTTGGGCCAATATTTTACTAAGCTTACCATGTGATTTAAAGGCAATGGATCCAGCAGCCAAAGCGGCGGCGGTTTCTCCGGCAACATCACTTCCTGGTTTACTTGCAGTTACTTTAAAGGCGGGTCTGTTCATTTTCATATCCTCTGGTCGACCCCAGAATGAATGGTCAGCATTTCCATCACCAACCTGACAATTACAACAAGCCAACAGTGAGGCTGATGTCCCCCGCCGAAATAGGAAAATAATTAGAGGACACATATAAAAATCAAATTGCGTATCGCTCTGCTTACCCTGAGCAGAAAATGCTCATTATCAAACTTAGTCAAGGTATTACTGTAATGAAACTATACACCAAGTTTCATCAATCTCACTTAATTAGAACTAAAGTTATCGTGTCCCAAAGCATCAACCAATCAAATTGCTTATCTCTGCTTACCCTAAGCGGAAAATGCTCATCTTCGAACTCCATCAAGGCATTGACCTAATCAACACATACACCAAGTTTGAACATTCTAGCTCAATTAGGAAGAGAGTTATCGTGCCCCAAAGTTTTAACCAATCAAATTGCTTATCTCTGCTTACCCTAAGCGGAAAATGCTCATCTTCGAACTCCATCAAGGCATTGACCTAATAAACACATACACCAAGTTTGAACATTCTAGCTCAATTAAAAGTTATCGTGTCCCAAAGCATCAACCAATCAAATTGCTTATCTCTGCTTACCCTAAGCGGAAAATGCTCATCTTCGAACTCCATCAAGGCATTGACCTAATCAACACATACACCAAGTTTGAACATTCTAGCCCAATTAGGAAGAGAGTTATCGTGTCCCAAAGCATCAACCAATCAAATTGCTTATCTCTGCTTACCCTAAGCGGAAAATGCTCATCTTCGAACTCCATCAAGGCATTGACCTAATAAACACATACACCAAGTTTGAACATTCTAGCTCAATTAGGAAGAGAGTTATTGTGTCCCAAAAAGTGTGACGGACAGACAGACGGACGGACGGACGGACAGACAGACGGACGAACCCATTTTAATAGTCCCCTGCTTTCTTCGAAAGGCGGGGGACAACAATGTTAAATGAACCCCTACGACATATTATTCGATCGTGTTCTATTAGACGTATTTCAGTCATAAATCACTGTATCAATGCGACCATTTTTAAATATATATATACCCCTACTATGATGTGGATAAAAAGTGAAACTGTCGATTTTATAATATGATCGCTTTGGTGGGATGCGAACATGACTTCATTCAAAACATCACGTCAGTAATTGTTGGGATATAACCAATTGTGTGTTCTCGTGTCGACACAGTAATCCATAATGAAACAAAAATAAGTAAACAAACCGGCATTCGCTTAATCTTTCGGGACTCAAGTTGAATCGTATAGAGCTTGTATTATTATTAATTGACTTATTACTCCAAATTAACCCAAATTCAATGATTTATTTTGACTTAACCAGGTTTAAATCATTTAGTGTTGTTCAGATTTGCACACAGACTTTTGTTTCGTGTCAAACATATTCAGTTTTCCAGTTTCTAAAGTTGCCACGGTAGTCGTTGAGCGTTATTCTTAAAAAGTTTATTTTAACTGTGTGTTTAAACTCGGCCAATGCATGCATTTACCTGTGCATAGTAAGTGTGGGTGTGAGGATTCCAGCACTTGAGAAAATAATCTAACGGCCATTTTATCATGTCGTACATCTGATTCAGTTGATTAGCTGATTGGTAGGCATCCTTCCATTGAATCATACCCCACAATAAAATAGTAGCTGACGAGGCCATTGGCAGGTTAAACTTTACATTGTCACCGGCTGTAAGGAAAAGGGAATTATACGCTGCTTAGCGGTTCAAAAGAAAGGGAAAACGGAGTGTCAATACTTTTCAATAGAGATGTTTCAGTCACCTCTTCGTCGAATTCCAAGTAACCAGCGTCAAGCTATGTTTTCGTGTTAGCACCGCAGACACTATCCAGGTTGAAACATTAATGATAAAGGAAAATTCTTATCAACTAAATGATAGTTTGGAAATGACCACACTCGGTGTTTAGAAACTACTTGTTAAAACCAATAAAACATTTTCGAATACATATCAGACACATATATGTAAAGATTTAGAAATATTTACTAACCATCATACCATCCACCCGTCAAATCTTCACCATTATCGCCTTTATCGTGTAAAGCTGAATCACCTCTCCAGTGGATGGGATTGTTATGGGGTAATTTACCGGAACGTTGGGCATCATAAAATAAAATTGATTTACCCAGAGCGCTAGCATAGTTGTGAGCTGGATGACCACCACCTTAGTTTTTTGGTAAAACACACAAAACACAGATTAACGTATTATAAATAATGTGAGTCCTGTAACTGTTAGATTGAAAACATCACAGTTAAGTAATAACATGTATTACGTGTATCCATGTGCTGTTTCGTGTACCGAATTCATTACTCTAAGCTAAAATCATTGACAACCATGGGAACTCCACAGTAGACATTGGTACAAGCCGTTTTATTCTAAGCTAACTTCCTCTTGATCATTACAAATTACTCAGAAGTTATGGTAATTTGTGGGGGCATACAAACTCATTCAACATATCTTCAATGCTTGCATTTGACCGCCAAATGCATCAAAATCGCCGACTATCTTGTAAGGAATTGATATATCTGTTCTTGTCCAACATAATATTTGGGGAAACAACTAGCCAATGATCTTCGAGTAGTAACCAAAGATATACACCCGTTCCCTATTTGCGTGGAACAACGTGTTTTACATACATGCGAATAATCTTAAATAACTTTTAAAATTTACTAAACGTTTACCTGTTACTGGCCCTGCTGCCCAGACTGATGATGCGACCACTGCAACGAATGCTAATAACTTCAACATTATCTGGAACTAAGCAGACAAATCCCATATATTATTATTGTATATTTAATGATTGTATTTATATATGGTTAAGTCAACTCTGAAACCTGACAAAATGATTTGCAAAAATTATGAATCCATTTCCTGATGACTGGTTTGAACCCGGATTTTATGAATAAAAGATCATCATGACTGGACATGTGGCGTTTTATGGCGGATACCTTCGTATTACACATAACGAAAACAACTGCAAATTGTCGTTATCAGATAAAAATAATCGACCAGGAATCCGGATGTAAGACTTCGATAACGAGCAGGTAATTCTTGCTATATCAGTTAAACAATAGAAAATGGAATATATAGACAATTTCAGTCAAATTACTACTTTCTGAGCCAAACTATGGCCGTTTGAAGAATAGTATTTTCTCGAGTGCCATTGCCACTGTTGTTACGATAATAAACAAAGTCTCAATTATTCATTTTTTAATTAAAGTATAAACTGGCTATCGTGTTTAAATCCAGTTGAAAATCACAACCAGGGCCCGATTCCTAGACAATTCTTAAGCACGTTCTTGTACTTAGATTTTAAGTAGACTTTGCATTTAAGTAAACTTACCTTATTTTGTGTTCCCAGAACATTCTTAAGAACGTTCTTGTGCTTATATTTTAAGTAGGCTTCACTGTAAGCACAAGAACGTTATTATGCGTTCCAAGAAAAAACTTAAGCACAACTTCGTTCTTAAAAATAGTCAATCTAAACACAAGTCCCAAGCAAGGTATACGGCTTGCTTACCAACCTTAAGTCTGTTTCAGCTTTAAAAAGATGGCTGACCGTAGAGTTATTCGACGGCATTTCCGACACCTTTTGATACCAAAGAGACAATTACAAGACAGAAAATCCTTCTCCAGAAGAAATTAAGAATGCTAGGCTATAGAAAATTTCGTTTCTACCCTGAAACCATTTTATTTATTTGCCAATTAGTAAACAATAGGCTACAAACACACAGGCTACTTTAAGATCAGGCGCTCTCACAATTATTCAATTAGTTTGTATGTGTCTGCGTATTTTATCTTGTGGCACATTTTATATGTGTATAGGGGACATGTCAAATGCATTTAAATGAACCATATATGACGGCAATGAAGCAGATGACAAATTTATGACGTAATTCGCATACCAAAGTTGTTTTTATGACGTTAAAGAGCATCGTAGTCTCAGTTTATGGTAAACTTTACCAGTCACAATGTGCTTATACTAATACTTGACTTGTGCTTACGTAAGAATGGTCTCCAGAATTTTCTAGGGACGGTATTTTTGTAAGTTTCTTACGTAAGAAAAAGTGAATCATGACTTCGTGCTTACTTTAAGAATTTTCTAGGAACTGGGCCCTAAGTTCATTATGGGCTTGGCATGTGAATAAATGTCCAACTAATGATTTATATAACATTTGAGGCCAAACGAAAGATCTGCAATAGGCAGATTTAGATCTTACATAATGTAGCGTTAAACGACGCTTGTATACTTCCATATTTAACAATAAATGAAAATAATGTTATCATACCTGCCTGTTTGGCCTTCCAAACGTTTAGAGAATAACCATTATAATCAGGCGGTCGTTTTAAATAGCTGCCTTATCTTCAATCATCTGTTCTGTCTCAAGGCTTGGAGTTGACAAGATTACCTTCACCCAAAGAGGCAACATACTCGCACCCACGTGTAAGATATTTTTTTTCTAACTTGTTTTGCCTCAAGCCTCGCTGTTTACAAGATTATCGTCATCCAGTCAGGTACCCCCCCCCCTCCCCCCACCCCCACATTATGTAAGACAGTTATGACCATCTAAAGTGAGATTATAACATTGTTCTAGAAGATAGAAAAGGTTTGAGGATTTCTTATTTTCTAGGAGTTTGAGTAATGTTTTATGTAATTCACATGCCCGGTGCACTCAGCCATCTCACCAACGCCCCCAAATGGAGAGCATGTCTTTGACATAAAGGCTATTCAAAGCAGGAATTCCAAACATACCATGTCACAGATCAGTGTATTTGTAGTTTGTGTCCCGGGATGGATCAGTGGAATATCGTTCCACTGGCAAATGTAAACTTACATTACTGCAAATAAATCAGATATTATCGATAGAGAAATTAAAATGATCTCTGTTATCTAGTTTGGGTTGTAGTTGTCCTAACATTAGTTTCGGTCTTCTCCCAAATATTTCGTAAAAGGGAGTTAAAAGTTGTTTTGGAAATAAACCTTGTAAGAAGCAGATCTATCATATCAGGTATTCAAACTTGAACCTATGAATGAAACGTAGATATGTATAGACCATGACGACGTTAACCAAAGAAGATTATCAATTACTTCAGAAACTATACTGGCTTATCATGTTCGAGATTTTGTTATTTGCTAATTCAAGGACCTTGTTTGTATGACAGATTAGGATTGGTTTAAACTATATGTCATTGCGTCGACCTAGAAATAGCTTTTATTCTGTAATCAGCAAGATCTTATACTACAGAGATATATCGGGACTTTCAAGGACTACCGATTAAGATACAACGGCAGTAGAAAATGGATATTTCGAAATTGCATGCCAAAATAATAATAATAATAAAAAATTAATGTACACAATGAAATTATTTATACTTTTGGATTGAATATCAATCATTGTCGAATTTTTGGAATTGATAATTAACAGTTAATTTTTTCCATGTCAACTTGTTTTATTCCCATAAGCGCTTCTTAATTATGTGGTAAAGATTTTCTGCCCTTTATAACGTCGCACACATGAACAATAGTTAAATCCGTATAAAACCAATGACAATTCTTGATAAATGTACTTTAATTATAACCAGGAACATCGGAAACCTAGACGATCGGTGCATTTTTGGTTGGTCATAATACAATTAAAGAGAAATTCCCACACAACCCGGTTGCTGGCGTTATACCCTTAAAGGAAGGTTAGTTTTTAATCACAGCTCCTTGATTAGAATACCACCATTTATCGTTGGGAACCACCAGAAGCATTAACAGAATGCACTGTCTCTACCATCTGTGGGTGACAGGCTCATACATTTGTAGTAGAAGCCTGAGTCTCGAGAATACAATATCATTTGGACTTTCATCGTGTACATATTCATAGATACAGACAGCTATGTATGACCCTTGATTCGTACAAAACGTATCACTAAATCCTTTCTTTCTTGTAAATGCTTTGAACAAATCACATTTTGAGACCCCCACCCACGTAAAAATGTTTAATTTTAGTCTTAAAACGTTCGCAATGATTAGACAGATCGGAACTCTTCTCGTTAAGTTTGATGAACAGACATTGTCTAATATACTTCTCTAATAAATTAATATATTATTGAGACGAAAGGATATTACATCATTCATAAACACAGTTTTGTTGATTTAATACATCTTATTTTAGTTCATGTAATGTCGCAATAACCTTTCGTGTATTTCTATCAACCACATTTAATTGTAACAAAAAAATAAGCAATGGAAGACTGTTTTATAACTGACACGCTTCATATATATCATATTACCGACACGCTTCGTATCATGTTTTAACAGACATTATAAACCTGTAACGGTAAATCTCTCTCTTTGATCATTGGGGTATATTCTATGCCCGGAATAACTTGCGGTCTGAAAGTCGGGGCGGCTTTGTATATATACAGGGAAATTTGGGGGTTATTCTTCTGAAAAATTTTCTTTAAACCTGTACCGGGTTATTCTTCCAGGGTAGGGTTTTTTTCCATAAGAAAACATGATATAATGTTTTTTCTTACGGGAATTCTGGGATATTCTCATCTTGCGTATATGAAAACATAGACGGTTTATAAGCAAGATAAAATCCTCGACTTCGGTTATGCCGGCCTCGGTTTTTCTTTTTCTCGGGTTATTCTTTCCCCAGCATAACCTCAGTCTCGTGCTTTATCCTACACAGAATACATGTTTTTTAATTGATTGCTGTTCTTCTTAATATAGCAGAAAAGGAAACGTTTAACACATGAACTATCAGACCGTTAAAAAGGATAACTTTGTAGACAGATTTATAAAACCCTTTGATCGCGATAAAATTATAAAGGTGGCCTCAGAAATTTGCAAGTTTCAATATTAATGTTAGTTAAAGATACATTATGGAAGATTAGAGAAAGAAAGAGCTGGCAGGTCACACTAAAATCGTTAAAAATTAAAAGATATAAGGGAAATATGCTGAAAATGTCAGTCAAATTGCTTCACTCTAAGCCGAGAAAGCCTTATTTTAAAATCATTGTAGCCTCGATTGTCATTGTTGCCACTGTCACGATAATTATCCAGCGGACGTTGAACAGTAGATCCAATGAAATCCAATGAAATTCGGACACATAAGATGGCATCCATAGTTCATCAGGCCTAAAGACAGACCTGCAACAGGCAGATTTACCTCTGGCATAATGTATCTTAATCATCGTGTATGAAATGTATGTAACAATGGGCCTTTAAAATATTAAGAAAAAAATAAACACAATTTATCTAATAGATGCATCTAAGTTGAACAAGAATACATTTTGAAATGTTTTGTTTTTTGCCGTATACAAAGATCACACACCAAACAAGTCAAGTACACGTGCAGCAAATACAATTCACGATATTATCGATTCAGTGGTTTCAACTGGGTGTGTTATAACGTGTGCGCTATTATCTAGGCAAGTTATGTTTATTCCTATTTTCTCCCACTTTGTGACAAGCGAATTATCGAAGCGGTTAGTGACAAGTGCCCCCCCCCCCCCCACCTGTCTTTCCTTCCCGCTCAATGCAGAAATACTTGGTTAAAAACTTCCGAACAACAAAACTTTGGTTAAGCAATTTTATATTTTGGACTGTACATTTATGACATTAGCATTGTGTTTATCTTCCTGAACCGCCACCACAGGTATTGTAGCTGGTTGGTAATTTCTGTGTAATTGCTAGATGCTGTAAACCTGCAAAACATTATGTTATAATGAGGAACAAAATTATGTCTGTTCACAGTACGCTTTTCTCTTTAAATCTGATACTGATACCAATTGTTTGGATCAAACGGGTTGCAGCCGTTTTAATAAAATAATGGGTGCCCTAAATCAATAATAGAAACATAACGACATTCAGATCAGAATGGCAATGCAATAAAAGGATCGTCAAAATTGAGATTCACCAATCCATCCCCATTGTAACCTCGGTTATAAGAAATAGACCACAAAAACGTCTGGGTACTTTTGGCCCCATGGCTAACATAATAAAAACTATGTTATACCTGCTATAGCAGATTGGAAACCTGCATTATAATCACACGCTACTTCATTGTGTACGTAATCCTCTCTATTGTCAGTATAATCATCAGATGACCCAGGTCCTCCAACCAAAGCGCCGTATAGTGTATGTGGATTGTGTCCTTTGTTCTGCTGTTCTTCCCAACCACATGGGGCTGGGAGAAGAGGACATGAACTGAAAGTAGAACAGAGTTGTAATATGCGATTGGGACCTTTAATTTTCGAAATACAATAATGATCTCGTCTGTTGGTTCAAATAAGCACAATGTTTCAATGCATGGGGAGGGAGGGGGGCTTCATCACCATCATTGATGATAATATGTGATGATAGGGAATGGTCATGTTATATGGTCAAATGGAATTACTCATCAATACTGACATGACTGGAAACCAACCAAGACAACCAACCAAGGGGCTACCACTATGGGAATAATAACGTCTATATTATTAAACGAAACTTTACTTTCAAGTCCCACATAAATATTCTTACTGCAAACGATACCGCTAACGCTGCGTCTGGAACTAGAACTTTGAACAGACTATTATAGATGCAGTAATCACACGAATGTCACATGTAGATTCTCACCTCCCTCTGTGATGTGGGTTTTTAGGTGGGTTTGTTCCGAAGCCTATAACAAAACTTCTACCGGCATCACCAAGAGCATAATGTAATTGACTCATTGCCCACTTCCTGTATACACCTGGGTTAACGCCCAGGTCAGCTGCAACTAAAGCCAGGAACGCAGTGTTTGCTACAAAATATAAATGGGAGAGTAGTTGTATTTACATAAAACCTGCGGTGCGCATAGCTATCAATTTCTTTATACAATTACTAAAACGTTATTTCTGATTGTTTCAAGTTGATTTTATTAACCTCTGTTAATTTAAAGAGGAAGTAGGACGTCATCACCGGTTGATTCCCGAGATTTGAGTATACAGTTAAAATTGTTGAAAGTTCTAATTTATCTTTAAAGATTTTAGATAAGAAAAAGAGAGCTTATATATAGCCTACGTACAGGCATACCGTAATGCTCCCCACTGTAGTCTGAAAGCTAAACATTTGGGAGTGTAAGGTACACTTCCTCCTGGCATCCAAGCTGTCATTGTGGCAACCATATCTTGTTTATAAATATCCTTCTTGGTCGCTTCATATAACAATGTCTGAAAAATAAAAATAATGTCCCTGGGTAGCCAAACTAAATAAACTACTTAGCCATTTCCCCAGTATTGTATGGATTGTCTAACTAGCGTATCGAAGATAGCAGCGGATTATTGAAATAACACTATTTGCCATACCTTTGGGACACAATAACTCTACTTCTAATTAGGCTAGAAAGTAGTTTGATAGGTAAAAGGGCGGTTGTGTGGCCGAATGGTTGACGCGTGCGCGTTGGATCAGGAGGCCTGTCATTGAGTCAAATTGCGTGGTTTCGATCCCCCGCTTATACTGGCATGATACTATTCGATAAAATAAGAAGTTTAGATATAAATAGGTATTTACATTTGCTCCGCCTATCTTTTCGTCCCAGGAGAATCCCCACGATTCACCGGGCAAGTGAGCAGCTTCAGCATCAGCAAGATATGTCTTATCTTGTGTAGCTTTATATAACCAGATAGCACCCCAGCTGTTTTCATCACTGTAATTCTGAGATCTAAAATGAATCAGATATACAAAATTTGTTTCTAATATTTTAAAGTGTGTGACAGATTATGTTTATTTTAGCTGACTTCTACGTCTTATCAGTAAAATCAAAATAAACTTCAATGATATTTGAAAATAACACCCATGGTCATATTCGGGTATAGTTTATTGCATTCAAATTGTACGACGGTTTGTGGCATACGAAAGCACAGCAAAACCCTCCTAAGCAGCGATAACGTACATATTAAATGAGAAATGATATACCACTTCATTAACCAACTTACAAATCTGGAGAAACACGAATGCGTACAAAATAAAAATGATTCCAGGTACCAATGATAAACAAACATACTTATAGTAAGCTGCAGCGGCATTAACACTGGAGCTGTAGAAACCAGGGTGAGCTTTACCCAATTCATATAATTCTTTAGCATGACTCAACAGAGTAGCAGAATAGGCACTATCTGTCATAACAAATATATTATGGCAACTTTAAATTTCTGAATAAAATGTTATAATTCCATAATAAAGTTCAAATAGATATTGAAGCCGCGAGGCTAGCAAGGGAGACGACTCTTTGTAATGTTGGACTTTTATACAATCGATTCATCTTGAATGGGTGTACTGCTGAATGACACCTTTTTAATAAGGCAACGGCATAGTCATATCATAGGCACTTCCTTCGCTAGCGATACTTGCATTGCCCGACATATATAAACTTATCTCATCTACTTATTACTAATCAAAGCTAATCTTGATCATTCTGATAAATGGGGTAATTCTTGGTCATTCTGATAAATGGGGTAATTCTGGTAAATTTCAAACTAATTTATCTGATCACAAGCACTAATTATTCCACGTTAGAACACGTTATATTCTTTTCATTGATACTGCACTTCAGAGATCCATGCGTTATCTTCCGAACTTCGGGCGACATTTACTTGTAACATAAATCAAAGAGGATTCCGTTTTAATTATTAACTGTAATCAAATTGTGAATGTAATTCCCAAACAATGCAAATGATGCATTATAACTGACCCCTGTCTTTAAAGGCAATAGAACCAGCAGCCATTGCAGCAGCAGTTTCCATGACGACATCAGAACCAGGAGATGATGCATCCACTTTAAATGCTGGTCTGTTTCCAGTCATACGTTCCGGGCTAGTCCAACTTCCATGATCAATACCACCGTCTCCTACCTGCATATCGACAATTTAATTTGTTATATAAATACCAAAAGGCCGACCAACACTTTTATTTCTGGATTAATTAATCTAGTATTTGATCATCGGACAATTGGCTATGTGGACAGACGAACAAAGTGAAGAAGACGACAGATTTTGTCCAGAAACGAGCAATATGGATTTAGGTAATTATTACAGGTTATTATGCTTATCCTTGATGCTACTTTCTACTTGCAGTGTAGTCATTCACTACTGTTTATTTTGAATACCGGTTAGGTTCAAATGTGCTTAATATTTATTTATCAACATATTAAAACATGACGTTGTCGAATGCCTAAAATTAACCGAGGCCCAAAAGAAAATATAGCACCTTACCTGTACATACAGTTCTTCTTTCTTGGTGTGACATTTGATGAGATAATCAAGGGGCCATTTAATTGATTTGTACATATTGTCTAATTGTCCGGCACTGTCATAGGCATCTTTGTATTGGATTAAACCCCAGGTTAAAACCGTTGTACTCCAAGCCATTGGAAAATTAAACTTAACATTATCTCCAGCTAGGAAGAGATATTTAGAAGAAATGGTTAATGTCGTTTTACTTCTTAAGTTACTCGGACATCTGACATTACGTGAATTTTCTGACTTACCGTAATGTGGTGGATTTTCACGTCTGGGTACATAAATTGGTGGAAGGCAAAATGTGAATCCATAATCAATGCATTTATTAGGTAATGGATGGAATCGGGACCCAGGACCCACGGGCGTTTACATTAATAGATACATTTGGGTTGTTATTGAAAGTACATCTGCATATATTTACATTCGTTTTGTGAAACCGAATCCAAAAAAATGGCATTCTGGGGAAAAGCGCGTGGGCGGGGAAAAACGCAAATTACTTCATGAATTTAAAAACGTCGTTTACCAATGCAAGAGGAAATTTATTTATGTTACTACTATCCGCAAATAACATACCGTCATACCACCCTCCAGTTAAATCTTCACCGCCAGATCCTTTGTCGCCTAGAGCTGAATCGGCTCTCCATGGTATTCGGTTATCAGTCGGAAGTTTACCAGATCTTTGTGCTTCGTAGAACATAATAGATTTCATCATAACATCGGCATAATTATACTTAGTTGCTTGGGCGCCTTAAAAATAAAATTTCAAACATTTTACCCGAAGGTTCGAGTAATTGTCGAGGTGGTTATTTGATTCATTAACTTCCACTACTCACAAACAAACAAGATCATTTCTGGACTAGCAATCGAAGAGCTACGGTGGCTAAATGAGTAACACGCTGGCTCGCTAGCCTGGCGATCGTGGGTTCGATCCCGGTGTTGGACGAAACGTTCATCGGGAAACCACGATATATGGCGTATGCCCGTCTTCATTAGCCCCGTCGGAGCAGAACATTAGGACGTTAAACCTCATTTCATTTTGTCTTCATTAGCCCAGTAGGACGTTAAACCCCATTTCATTTGATGTCTTTAGCAAGGATCCGTCACAATCTTGCTGTATCCAAAATGGGAAAGGAACAGCATTCAACGCTTTTAGTTCCTCTTGAAACAGTACAAGTTGAAAATTTATAATCGACACCGCGATTCTGCGGGTAGATAACATTTTCAGATTAACTTTGATATAACGAAATAAAATGTTAGAATTCTACATCACCTATAGAAGACACTCTTTTATGTACGCCTCTTCCTACCGATGCAATGAATGAGTGAAATGTGGCTTCAAGCAGACTTTTCTGCTCCAATCTAGCTAATGACGATGTTTTAACTTACCCGATTTTGTGACTAATGGTGGTAGGGTCTGGTGGTCATCAGTCAAATCTACCAGAGTCGCAGTTGCAGAAGGCGTGCCTTTTCCGCAGGTATTACCCATGAACTTTAGGCAGAAGTTTTCGCCCTTCTCATGTATACCTTTATAGTTTTTATTAACCCATTTTATAGTGGTCAAGCATTCACTATCGGAGGGTTTTTCAATCCAGTCAGCGTCCCATTGCTGTAGAAATAAACAAATTATCAAAACTCTACCGATAAATGGAAGTGAATCATATTAGTTGAATTGGCTTTACACGATTCCCATTAGAAACGTTTTCCTAACAGTCCTGGAAGTAGTTGCACTTTATTTTAGGATTAGGACGCGTAATATTAAAGCCCAGAGTTCTGTAACCGCGATAATGATAACGGTAGATGAGCTCATTGGGAAGTGAAGAATAAGTATTGACTTTAACTAATTTAATGTCAGATTTACTGATGTGGTGATTAGTTGTGTATACCTGAATATGCTTTACTGGAGAATCAAAACTAACATCAACTTCCCAGCCAACAATATGACCCGTTAAAGCAAAACAAAGCTCGCCTTCAAAATTATCGTCCCAGTGTTGCTTCAGTGTCATTTTAGTTGTGATATCTTCTGCTAAACATCCCGCGAGAAACGTTAACATCAGCAGACACAACATCTTGACTGTCTTCAAAAACTATCTTCTCCGTTTTACAAATAATGTCGATGTATATATCCCATTCTTATCAAAAATATATATTTATATTTATCTAAGATTAGTGAATGTAGTTTAGTTTTTTATCAAGCACCTGTCATTAATACATAGCTAGTTTCTTTTAGGTCCTAACCGTAATGCACAGTTCTAATAAAACAATACAAGGAATTCAATGTCATAGGCCACCCTTTTTACTTTTATTGCATATCCATCTGTGAATTTTATACGCCCACATTTGCATGTGGACCTATATTGCCATCATCCCTGTCCGTCCGCCCACACTTTGTTTGTGGACAGTCTACAAGTCACAATTTTTATCAGAAATATAAGTTTATCTCCCAGAGGTTCAGGTTCCTTTCGATATTGGCATGTGTCGGATCGTAACTTTACAGATTATGGCCCGATTGTACGACACTCGAGAGGTCACAATTTTTTCCGATTTTATTGAAACTTACAATGTATATTTATAAACCAAATGTGGCGTATGTTGCATGGCACCCGCTTGAAATCTTTGGTCGTACTAACTGTGAGTAAAAAGCTATCAATATATTGATGATTTTGTCTACATAATCTAATATGAACACTTACACGGTCTTGTAAAATTTATGTTCACCAAGTATGTTGACTAGATAGACTAGTGAATCGTAAATCTTATGGCACATACCCAGGTTGGATTACAAATGAAAATGAAATGAAATGAAATTGGGTTTAACGTCCTACTGTTCTGCTCCGAACTTGGCTAATGAAGACGGGCATACGCCATATAGTGTGCTATGAGTGAAATTTTGCCCGGACAGCGGCACTTCGGCCTACTCTTATATCGAATTCCAACTGTCAAGGGATCTTTTACGTGCACGCCAATGTGTACTCAGGACCTCGGTTTTTCGTCCCATCCGAACGACTAGACAACTCCCCTTGTCAGGCCCTCCGTCGGGCATCACTGACAAGGGGGAACCACGCCGGAAAATCGGGATGAACTTTCTCGGCCATTGCAGGGATCGAACACCCAACCTCCAGGCTAACGAGCCGGCGCCTTACCTATTTAGCCACCGTGACCCCCAGGATGGATTACTCGAAAAAGTTGTGAAACACCCTAATGCACAAAGATTTGCACTGGATTTACCATACGACGCGACGATTCTAAACTAGTAAACGAGTCGACGTCCCTTTTATCTTTCGAAATTAAAGTTTGATTGTGTAGAATTAATGTTCCGTTTGGTATCAATATATGTTTACAGGCACATAGATTCCATTTCTGCCATTGTGAATAATGATCGTATGTTAACCAATTGAGCATGTTTCCAAGATGGTGGACATTTTTGGCGGAACGTTTTCGTTTTCTAAACAAATTGAAATTATTTATTTATTTATTTGTCCGTATTTACAGGTTTCTAAATGCAATTATGCTTTGTATTAGCTTGTAGCATGTTATTGGAAGCCAGTAGAGTGTCGTACTAATTTAGTATATTATCCGAGCTGACCACACTGAGCTGGGATAAAACGCCTAACCACCCTGTCTCCTTGCATGAGAGCAAAGACAGCGTAATGGAAGCGTGGCGTGGCTCTATCGGCAAGAAATTGACTCCCACCCATCATGCTCCTGCCATGACACCAAGCGCTCACTACGCCCAGCGGGCTCCAGTCAAGCCCCGACGACACTCTCGTAACGTACTTACCACCTGCTAGTAATCCTCCCGCCAGGCCTATAAAGATTGCGCCTTGCTCACCCCGTCCGCATTCCAGTATGGCGGAAACGTAGTTGAGTGTGGTGGGGTGTAAATGAAGTACTTGCTAAGAAGCCTTCGTGGCATATTTTATATTATCAACTGACTTACAAGCTGAATGTGGAATAAGCAGGTGAAATGTTTTTGCGTTGGAAACATACAGTATGTCACAACTTAGACAACGACGTGGCTGGCCATCTTTGACATCACTAACACCGGGTCTTTTAATGGCGATGGCAGTGCTACCATAGATGTATGTCAGTTCTTGATAATATAACCTATGCAGTCATTATTTTTATTTCAACTTTATATTAAATTCATGGTTTATGGCTCCTGATTGTACGAAACATCACGTTTTTAACATGTAGACACGTCAGATGTCACAATTTTTATCCCATTTTCATGAAACTTGAAATTTATGATTATAACATTTTTATTATGACTTTCGATATTTGCGCAAATCGGACCGTAACTTCCTACATTAGTGTATAGCCTCAGATTGTACGAAAAATCACGTCGTTTTCCTATTTTACGGGGGGTTGGGTGGCCGAATGATTAGAGCGTGCGCACTGTATCATAAGGTCTGTCATTGAGTCAACTGACGTGGTTTCTATTCCCCGGTTGTACGTGACAAGGAGTTGGTTCGCCTGTCCAATCTCGCGGGTTTTCTCAGGTTCCTTTAGTTTCCTCCCACTGCTAAAGACCTAGTTTCTCTCTCTCTCTCTCTCTCTCTCTCTAGAAGTCACAATTATTATCTGATTTGGATGAGACTTAAATATAATATATGTTTATATCCCATAGATCTCGGTTCCTGTCGGTATTCGTGCATATCGGACTATGGCCCCTGATTCTACGAAAAATCTCGTCACAATTGTTATCACCGTTACACCATAATGAGGATTGAGTTCGAATTTCGTGAAAATCGGACCGAAACTGTCCGACAAAATGACCGCTCCACGTACGCAAATAATGTAAAAGTATGTAATACCAAGGGTGTGGACCCTCTAGATGTTACCATTTTTATCCGATTTTGATGAAACTTACAATATATGTTAGCTTGTTCTCTGACCGTCTCCTCCAAATGTGGGCGTATCTTGCACTGTAAGCGCTTGTTAATTACATTTCCCAAAGTTGTAACTCACATTTTTTGTTTAAAATCGTGAGATTTGTATCTATTACTGATAGACAATGATAGACAACATAGTTTGAAACTGAAAGTCTCGATGGCGCCATTACGTTATAAAATCAGACCGGGGTATTAGGCTGTATATTATTTAAATAGTGTCAAACATGTAATATCTTTCAAAGTTTATATAACACGCCCAATTTTGTTATGGAAAAACCCGACAATCGGATTTTAATAGAATTCTTTATACGTAAACATGCTATAATAAATTCCTTAACGAGGTATTACTGACAGCTTTGACATAATTATTATTCTATAATATAAATAATGGAGCTGGTTAAAAGAAAAGAGAAAATATAAAAATGCCGTTGATACCTGATGCTGTAAGGGGATAAAGGCGAGCATAGCATATCTAAAAGACAAAGTTAAACATGCATTATACAAGATCTTAATCTGGCCATTGCAGATCTTTCTTTAGGCCTGGAATCTTATCTAAATTATTAAGTAGACATTAATTAACTTATACAGCCCATTAATTAACTCTCGATGCCATCGTTAGACTGCGATATTTGATGGATTTGAATACATTTTGTGACGGATAATTTAACGTCAATATGGATATTCGAGACTTTGTTTAGTATAATACCAACGTTAGTAATGATGATCGAGATTAGCCTAAAATGGAATCGCTAATATTTAGGTTCAGAGTGAAGAAATCTGACTAAAATTTTCAGCACAGTCTGTTTTCATTATCTATTTTGTAACTATTATAGTGAGAACTGCCAGATCTTTGTTTAATCTTATCTAATATCCCTTTAATGGCTTTATGTATTTTGATGAACGGGTAACTTTTGTAAGTGTAAAATTGGATTATCAATGTACAGTTACTAATATTCACACACATTTGCATATCGATGAAGTGTCAAAAGGGTGTATCTCGGGAAATTAGTCAAATACACTTTTTTGCATTTTTAAAATCTCCCAATTCATATGCACAGTTCTGTCGAAGCTGTGTATCTATACCCCAATTAGAACTGTTCTGGGTATCATGTGTAATACTTTTAGTAGAATTTTTGCTCGAGAAATAACATATTCGCATAATATGTGATATGTACTTAAAATACTTAAATCAACTTAGTATGTAATTGATAGTTGACACATAAAAAAGAGCGATTTATCGAAAACATATGTCACTCATTTACCACCGAATTACACGTGAGTGGAATTATTCTAATTGCATCATTTGATTTAAAGTAACCAATCATTTTGTTAATTACACAAGTTCAGGGCCATGATCACGCGTTATTGTGCATGATATTCACTTACCTTTAAAAGAAACCGGGGAACCCTGTAAGTCAGACTTGCATTAGAATCCAGAGATCGAGGGTACATCTGAGTTCCTAGACAGCCGAGAGGCTGGATAGGGTGGAGAAGTGGTTTTAGCTATATAGTATTGTAATTTGTGCTATGCCTGTATACCTGTATTCAGTTATATGCTATATAAAATGTAGAAGCGAACTATGCATTATTATTCCTGGTAAGACAAACGTCTTAAGAAACTAGAAGAAGTAAATACACAACGTGAAGCAGAAGTAAAGGCAGCTAGAGACAAATCCTAGACGATCACAAGGCTACAGAAATATGTATTAAGAAAAGATGCATGGGTCATACGTAGGATGTTGCGACCGGTTTCCCATAGACGCTCTCCACGTTAGACAAAAGACCTATGGTGCTACACATGTGTCCAAATGTTGTATCTTGATTTGTGGAAATTTTGAAATGCAAAAGATTCTATTTCTTAATCTTTAGAAATTCTTAGATACACCTTTTTGATACTTCACCGACTGTATGCTTTTATAAAATGGTGACTATAGTTGATCTCCAACGCATTCCATAATGTGATAGGTAGTTGGTGTTAGAAATTCTTAGATACACCTTTTTGATAATTCACCGACTGTATGCTTTTATAAAATGGTGACTATAGTTGATCTCCAACGCATTCCATAATGTAATAGGTAGTTGGTGTTTGATTTTCTCAACACCAATTTCACATTCTGATTTTCTCAACACCAACACCAAGATGTCTATGGTTTGTACTTTACATGGGGGGTTGGATGGCTGAATGGTTAGCGTGCGCGCGCTGTATCATAAAGTCTATCATTGAGTCAACTGGCGTGGTTTCGAATCCCCGGTTGTACGTGGCAAGGAGTAGGGTCGCCTGTCCAACCTCGTGGGTTTTCTCCGGGTCCTCCGGTTTCCTCCCACTGCTAAAGATCCCTACGCGCAAGCGAATTATTGAAATAAAATTAAACCATATGTTAGTCCCGAAATGACCTAGTTTGTGTCGAGTGGACGTTAAACCTCATTTCTCTCTCTCTCTCTGTACTTTACATGGGTAATCATTCAAATTAGTGTCTATTTCTGCCTATTCATTGCTGAGGTAAAGTTCAATGGACGATCGTGCAATATTAATTTTCGATAATTTAATGTGGACAAACAATGAGAGAGAGAGAGAGAGAGAGAGAGAGAGAGAGGGGTCATTTCGGTACTAATATGGTTCAATTTTATTTAAATAATTTGCTTGCGCGTAGAGGTCTTTAGCAGTGAGGGGGCGGAGGACTCGGAGAAAACCCATGAAGTTGGACAGGCGACCCTACTTCTCGTCACTTCCAATCGGGGAATCGAAACCCATTCGGCCACCCAACCCCCAGATTTAATTGCGATATCGTTTGAAGCACTGAGGTCATGGGAGAATTATCTGTAAATGGCGTGTTCAATAGTGTGTCCTCATAATGTCCAGTTTATGCATAAATGAGACAATCTTATCTGAAATTAACTTTTGAACCCAAAAGCAATATCCACAAACACAAAAAACACCGTTTTGGATTCTATTCATAATTATCTTTATAGTTTAAAATTGAATATAGCAAAACACATACATAAGACCTATTACAAACCTATCAAACGGTAGCAAATGACGATTTTATTAAAGGGAATTACGCCATTTTTGATTTAATATTGGCGGTCATTTTGAATTTTTGATATCGTGGATTCTCAAAATTTATTATTGAGTTCAAAATTGATCCCAGCCACACCGAAACCCATATAATTGACATGGAAGAAATCATACCCAACATGAAAAAATGACGATTTACTGAAAATCTACTATTTGGATTCCATTTTGACTGGCAGTTTGAATTTAAAACCATATAAAATGCATATTATCTTACGACATACCGACTGATAATATGAGGAAAATTCCATTTTATTACCAAAGGTAGTAGCAATGTTGAAAGAAATTGCTGCCACTATGTGAAAAAAAGAAAACCAACATTTATTTTAGTCAAACTCGTTTATTTCGGCACATATCGCTTTTACAATCACCTTATGTTTGAAGAATTTAAAAAGCAATTATTTATTGTCCCAGCACTAAAACACACTGGCTACGAGATATCGCTGTAATAAACGCCCTGGAGGCTGCCATATGGGCCGAATTTATGTATAAAGTTGTCGTATATGTATCATTGAACCAAACCTCCTTTGTTTCTGTTGATATTTATTCGAGATAAAACGTTATCCCTTTCCGTCTATTAAGGTAAAATGTCGAAATGTTGGACGTTTAAAGATGCATTATTCAAGCGCTAAATCTGCCTAATGGTCTCAAATGTTAAATAACCTATTAATTAGACATTTGTTTACATGTCAGGTCCATCAGCAACTCTCTAGAACTTCGGGTGGTTTTGATTTTAAACAGATTTATATACGATCGGTATGGATAATCGAAACAATTTTCTTATTATTGTAACAACGGTAGCAATGACAAACGAGGCTACACTGGTCTTCCAGGGACGATAACTTCATTATCTTTTTTTTAAATATTATAGCGAGAACTGTCATCTTTATCTAAATTTTATATAATGCATCTTTAAGCCGTCCATTTCTTAAATCTAGATTAGGGTGTACAGAGGTTAGTCATCACGACGATTATTGTATTTTCTTTTCCGGAATCTCAATTTCTTTACTTTACGTCCTGCTAGTGATTGTGTTGGTCGCAGGTTTCCTTTATCTGAAATAAGGTCTCCGGTAAATCTTGATTCCAATGCAGCTAAAGAGTTCAACTGAAATATAAAAATATACGTGTTGTATAAAATGTTTTTAAATAAATCATATTTGTTCTCTAGGATACTTTACAACCTGTGTAACACACCTTTTCTCGTGAAACGCAACAATTCCCAGAGATAAGTCTTTTCCGTAGCTCAACTTTTAAGGATGTTAATAAAATCACTTCTGGTGTATTTTTTCTATAATTCCAAGATGGTGAGCCTGCCCAAATCCCATATTTCAGATGTGACCATTTTGAATCCAAAATGGTGGCCTGAACTGAGGTCGAGTCGCTTGTGCCACGCTCTGATTCGAAAGACTACCTTTATGCCAATATTGTTCTACTTTTGTCAAAAAGTAAACTACTGGGAAATTTATTTGTTGCCAAATATGTCAATGTTCGCCCTTTTTTCACAATCTTGAAATTTTAACGTAATCATAAATTTTGATTGGAACTTGTCCTTATAGGAACTAGACCTGAAGTCTGCGTTACCTGTTGATGAATACACCATTATGTGTGATTTAATGGCCGAGAGTGAGACATTAAGTAATATACTCTTCCAAAAAAGTAGAGGCTATTCCGAAACAATACAAAACTGCGGAAATGCACTGCTGTTTTTATTAGAGGTAACCAGTGTATGTTAATAACAGGCCAATTGCCTACACATGAACATAAACTGTTCATATGGGCGGCTTATCTGACAACCCCATTTCACTCGCAAAGCGATACACTGTCAAAAGTGAAAATGGACGTTTTTGATTTTTGTCTTAATAATGAGTAATTGCTCCACCAATCCTCACACATTCAGCAATTCATCGTGGCATGCTCCTAATCAACCGTCCAATCACGATTTGGGGCAATCTGGTCCAATCCTCTTGACGTTGACGTCGACGAACACGTCTCCCGATCAAATTAAACGTAACACACCAAAGCAAAGATACGCTAAACAGCAAATCTTGTGCAAGAACCGGTAGGAAAGCAAACACGGATAGTTTAAACCAGCACGCGACAGTGTTCATCAACCCTTCCTTGAAGTGTCAAATTTGACAATGAACCCCTCCCACGTGTATGGCGCTATTGCGTGTCGCATGTGTTGGGGCGATAAGTTCTTCATCTGTGAACATACTCTCAAAGCATGTCAAATGTCCATGAATATTTACCATGTCGCAACCTGCATAGGTATTTGCATTTCGATATCCCCAACTTTTTTTTGAAGAGTATATATATTACGCAATGTCTTAAGCTCGAGACCATTAAACAACATAAAATACAAGTGCTTTGTAATGAAATACGTCAAACGGGTCAAAATTTGTATCTAGTATAAACAATGTACACTTGGCGGATTGTCCGTACCATTATTTGATTATTTGAAATAATGATACGGCAGCATCAAAGGATGACGTCACGTCTGTAGTTTAAATAATGTTATCAACTATTTTTCAGATTTTTCCCCATATTACGCAATATCTTAAGCTCGAGACCATTAAACAGCATAAAATACAGACATTCGGACGTGCTTTGCAATAAAATACCTCACACGGATCCAACATTTTAACTAGTATAAATAATGTACGCTTGGTGCATTGCCCGTACCATTATTTGAAATAATGATACGCAAACATCAAAGGATGACGCCACATCGGTATTTTAAATGAAATTAAAGACCCCCTCAAATCGAGTGCCACCAAAGAAGTTTATTTATGTATCGTTATTTTCAGGTTTCTAGATGCAATTATGCTTCGTATTAGCTTGTAGCATATTATTGGAAGCCAGTAGCGTGCTGTACTAATTTAGTATATTATCCGAGCTGATCAGTGAGCGTCTATTTTAAACCAAATATCCACGGTTTTAAGAATATAACTGGGCATATATTAACATAAATGAAGTGGCATTTTATCATATTTCCATTATGGTTATGGTTTCAATAAAATATTGTATGTATTGTAAGTGGATTTTAAAGCATAATTTTAGCAGTTTCTACTAATTAATCTCCTTTATTGGAGCGGACGGGGCAAAATCCAAACTAATATAATGATAACCGAAGGGCTAATCTCTCTGACGGGTTTTGGAGCCACTGTAACCGTAGTTTTCGCTACTTATCTCTTTATTGTCAATCACTTAATGATTTTCCAAGTGGAAACGCGCAAAAATCCCCCCTGCATCGTATAATATTACCGTTTCGTCGCTTATTCTGGTTGGTTCTTCTGCAACTAACCAGGTGACAGCTTCAGTACAAGTTGGAGATGTTAGAGAACCCTCATAATAATAGTATATAGCGGATTCAGATAACAGCTCATTTGGGTTTAAATAAATCTTTTCTGCATGTTTTCCTGAAAATTAAATATACAGTTATTAATTAATGCTGACGATCATAATAATATACTACATATTGTTAAAGTTAAGTAAATGATGTGTGTGTCCCACCCGATGCAGAGTATGTGTATTAGGACCAGTGGTGTTGGAGTTTTTAAATATTTAATGCTACTTATCAAAAGGGTTGAATCGAATTTCCGAGGTTAGTTGGCTAAAAATGATAATTCACTCAGTGACGAGTTTGCTATCTATTTTACTCCAGGTAGAACACCTCGATGAGTTCGAGATCATTAATATCAGTGGTTGTAGTTCAGAGTTTTACATGTTTATGTTTGGATCAATTACACATAACAAAACGAAGATAACCGGCGGCCTCCCAAAAAGTACCTGTGCATTGTAGCGAGAAATATTTTTATTAAGTGTTGGTGCATACCACAGCTGGACTCTTTAGTATGCAACAAACAGTCCCCGGGTACTCTTTTTCCTGAAGGAGGGTCAGGAAACTTTGGTGTCACCGCTGATCTACATCTACCATCTTCTTCGAGGTTAAATACTCTTCTAATAAAGGTCAATATATTCTCCAAGAAACAAACATTTTCTATAAATATAATAATTCAAGTAATAGTCACATTAAATAAATAATTATAATTTAACCAAAGTCTTAGTGATCGAGAGAAAAAATGAAGGGCTGGGTTAGCAAGCAAGCTTATCGGCTATAGTCTAATGGCAATTGATTTTAATTGTTCTTCACCGTGGATACTGAAATGAAAAGAAATGGGGTTTAACATCCTACTGTTCTGCTCCGACTGGGCTAATGAAGATGGTCATGGCATAAACACATTTTAGCGTGAACTATAGGTTTAAACGGATTTATAGAAACGGTAGTGACGCATTGGGCCTTGAAAGGACAAAGCCTGTCGATTTTCAGCGTTTTCGACATTCAGTTCCGAAGATACGCACCTTTTTCTCACAGCCTTGTGAACGCAATATAACCTATGTTTTATTGGATGTTTGGTGCTGAGCATCCGCATTTTAGGACTTTCTGTTCTAGAGATTATATTGCGGCTCTGAAAAATCCTTTGCACACGAGAGAAATGACCAGATTTCTACAAATAATCCTAATAAAATTTTAGTTCTTCTGATGGATAAGCTGCTCACTTTGGCTATCCTTTTGTTAAGATATATCTGCTATATGGACATATTTCGACACCGTGGGTAGCTATCATTTTATTCTACAATATTCGTTTCTCCCACTTAAAACAGTTTTATCAAAATAGCTGTGTTTTACAAAGTGATAGTGTATTTTAATAAATCTTGATATTAAATTACTTACCTTCGTTATCGAACTCTGTAACCTCGTCCAGTTGGCTGAATATCTGTTCAAATGCTGGACTTTTTGAACCGTCTTCTGTCTATAAGAAAAAGAACCGGACAAGATAGTAAGTCAATGTTTCGTATGACATAATGTGTAAGTCATACTACGATAAATGGAAAATGTTGCCGGACGTATTATTTTTTACTAATTCCCGAGTGACACGAGTTCATCTATGGCTGTCATTCAAGGTTTAGTACAGTCCAAAAACATAATATTTTACACAAATATAAATTAGCACTCTGGCACCACATTTAAGTGGTGGGTCTGCTACACTTCTGTATATTATGATGTACTTACCGAGAACAAAATCGCCACAACTACAATACCACCCGGGTGTGCACTAGCTTCTGCCAAATTTTTAAAATCGGAACGATGGTGGACAATGTGAGCCTATAACACAAGAAACAGTAAAAATACATAATCAGATTCATATAGAAGCCGTTGTACTGGTGTTTCTTATTATTGATGCAATACCCGTATGTTTATCAGTTAATCGCTCTAATCAGGATTAAATTTAACCTTCACGAGTATAAACAACAGCTGTAAGTCTTGATATAAACCGAAACATTTCATTTGGACAGAAAGTGAGATGGCAATTTAACCAATCTGATTAAAACACAGATCCTATTTCGTTTCGTTTTTATAGTTCAAAATTTCGTTTTACTTGTCTTGACTACACTTGAATCTGGAAGAGTTGTTATTTAACTCGTATTCTGAATGGTGTCAGGGATAAGCCAATGAAACGGTCTGTTACGGCGAGCTTTAGGCGTGTTTTTCACGGAACTGTGGGTAATCCACTAGTAACATCAATGCTGATTGGTTAATCAAATGTCTGACGTCATAGGTCATTTGACCCCTGACGTGACGTATAGCTATAACTTGTCAGATCTTCATGTAGTGTAGGCCATCGAAAGTATAAAAAAACGAAACGAAATATAGATCTGTATTTTAATCAGATTGGCAATTTACCAGGAGCATCGCAGTTAAAACAATAATGTTTACTTTCATTACAATTTAAGACAGGGTTTACATAACACCTACAAAGCAGAAGATATCCATAGTCTATTCTAAATTAAACTAAGCATTATATGTTAAATTCATTATCAATGTTAGAGAAAGTTTTGATGTCCTTTAAACATTACTACCTCTGCGTCAAAGTTTTTGCCACCAATTGTATGTTCAGTTTGTCTGTCGTCTCCACGTGGACCAAAATGGATGTGAACATTGTCCAAGATGTACGATCGACGGCTTTTAGGCACGCCATACAGCTTGATGTTCCCATCCTCGGGTTTAAATTTGGGGTACAAACCTAAAAAAAAAATTAAACAAGTTACACCCCATTTTGGGTTTACATTAGAACGGGAACAGTGAAATACGTAGGAAGAAGTTTAGGGTATAGGACATTCGCTGGACTAATGACATACCTGCTGATACATATATTTCAGCAATCGCCCTTGCCATCCGCACATTTAAAATGACTTTTCTTTGTCATAATATAACCGATTCTATGGATGCAGGAAGCCGAATTGAAACTAACGTTCACTCGACTCAATAATTCGCTAGCGGGGAGGGGTCTTTAGTAGTGGGAGAAAACCAGAGGATCCGGAGACAGGCGACCCTACTCCTTATCACGTACAACCGGGGATTCGAAACCATGCCAGTTGACTCAATGACAGACCTTATGATACAGCTCGCACGTGCTAACCATTCGGTCATCAATCCCCAGTCATGTTTTACAGCTAGCAACATACCTGGTAATTAATAGCGAACAACATTCTATAGATAACGAATGTTAGTTTAAAGTAATCACCACGTGTACAATTAGTAAAGGTCATCGGTTAATAACTGAAAGGTATCAGTTTCACAGTGATGCCGCTATTGTTCAGAAAATTCCCGACACTGCCACGTTGGAAACGGGTTTTTGCGCTTTCGATACATTATATCAAAAAGTAAATCATTACCATTATTTTCTACTTTTCCCTTAATATGGTTGCGTCTATATCTCAACTTGTTCCTGACACGATACGTGCGGTGGCTAACTGGTATGTCGATTGGCGACTGGAATGAGTTTCGTTCGTCACAACATTTATTAAGGGGAAAATCAATCTTGAACCAACACTGAGGACCTACAAAAACACCAAGAGTTAATATTTATCAGTGATAAAAACCAACACAGATGATTTAAAAGAAATGTATTACAAATATAGATATAGATGGGTGGGTGCGGGGGTAAAAAGCTGTCTCATCTACCCCAATTTGCTTCATACTATTTTCTATTTGTCAAATTCCTTCCGACTAAAATCATTGATTTAATAAAACATGTTCTTCTAATACTTGACTGGGTATTTGTTTTGTTATATGTATATTTAAAACCTAGATATGACGTCACCTTTTGATGTTTTAACCAGTATATAGGAGAATGTACACTTTTCTTAAACAATTGTCTATTTTTTTTTTTATAAAACTGTCCATTATTTATTGAAAATAATGGACAGGTTTACCAATAATAGACACTTATCTGAAAATTGAATATGTATTTTGGGATAATTTATTCTCTGAACAAATTAAATTACAGTACATGAAATTACTTTAAAACGTCATAGTTCCCGAAATGTCACATGACAGAATGTTGATTTCACGTGTTTGTCTACATAAAGAATTCCACTTAAATCCGTCCGTTATATGTACGTTCGGCACTAGATCGATGATACATTTTTATACGCCCACATTTTCACACCTACTTTGTGGACACTCTATAGGTCATAACTTGAAATATAGGTATGTATCCCAAAGATCTCGGTTCCTTTCGATATTGACTTGTATGGGACCGTAACTTGATGGATTATGGCCCCTGATTGTACACTTTAGAGTACACAATTTATATCCCATTTGATGAAATTGAACATGTATGTTTATAACCCACAGATCTCGGTTCTTTGCGATATTGATGTATATCGGACGGTAACTTCCTGGGTTATTGGTTTAGTTCGTGGATCCTATACAGGTCACAATTTTTATTCAATTTTAAAAACCGTTCAAATACATCATCGTTACACCATGATGACAGTTGAACTCGAATTTCGTGAATTGGTTTGTGCCTTTGATCCTGTGTCCTGTCACTTATATCAGAGTATATATTAAATTTCAAATCAAAATTTGGACGGCTAGTACCCTCAATATTGACCACAATACTAAGAATATTATCAGTATCTAAATCATTTTCGTGAGCAGCCTTTCCATCAAAACTTTGACGGCTATTATTCCCCATATCAAGAACATCACAATTTTCACAGCTATTATCTTCCATATCGAGTACATAACCAAATGTAATCAGTATCCAAATGCTTATCACATATATTCTCATTATTAATATCTGTTTTCGGCTGTGTTATAAACATGTCGTTTATATGGTGCTATGTTTTACGTCTGATAATAGCCTCAGACTGTCCATTATGTCTTCGGCCATTATCCATCACATACATCTTTTGGTACTACTGTATACATAACATAGGCAACATTTAATAAATACGCTTTTAATTATACCTCAATTACTATAATCAAAAATACATTACATCTTCTCCAATCCCATCCCATTCATGTATTTATTAAGAAACACAATAAATACTATTGTAACATGGACGGGAAATCTTCCTTTGTTCTTTTCGTTGAATAAGCAGATTGTTTTCCCTCAAGTAGATTGGATTGAGCTTAACCGTGTAATAACTGGACATGTTCAATGTTATTGCACAGTTTTGCTGGTTTTAGTAGAAATCATATAGAGAAGTGGGGTGGGTTTTCTGTGCAATAACAACAATCATATTGTGAAGGTTTCAATGTTACAGGTCATTTATAGCACGCTTCATTCGTGAATAAACCTGTTAACTCATGAAAGCCGTACTATAAATATAACTTCTTACTTATTGTCGCAAGATAACAACTGACTTCTTTAATTAAATAAACTTTGATAATGTTAAAATAACACATTTGTTCTTCCCAATATTTTCTTTAATTCCAGCTAACTGGGAAAATTCATTCCTAATGAAAATAATGCGCCCGACTCCAAACAAATCTTGAATGTGTCTGGGACTGATTACAAATCATAGTCACAAATCCATTTTATGGACAAAGAGCGAGTACTGTTTCGTCTCTAATGTGAAATAAAATAAAAAATAGTACTAACGCTTTTTTTTCAATTTTGTGCAATTTTCTTGTTGATTAATTACAAAAGAGAGTATCATAAAAATGTTAGCGGCGTATACATTCAGAAAAGAACGGTGAAAAGTAGACTAAAGTTAATAAACATGCCCTAGGTGATGTTCTGCTAATAACAATTTATTTTGAAATCTATCGTGTAATAATACAGTAACTATAAAACTCACCAATTCCCGAATCCGGATCATACGAAAAACAAGATTCATCTCCTAGTGGACATAAAGCTCTTTCACCACGTGGTGTTGGGTGCGGGTTAAAGTCATTGTAGTGACCCGGTAGATAATTTGTAACTAATCCCAAAGCTTTCCTGACGTACGAAGTGCTGAAATGGAAGTCAGTTGCCAGTGACTGCTGTGCCAAGCACAGAACGCCCAACATCAATACCGCTTTGAATGCCATCATGTATCAATGTCTAATATCTCGAACCAGAAGATACGCCTAAACTGATCGTTCAATGCATGTCTTCTGCTACAGGATAGAACACATCAGCTATTTATATGGCCGCGAAACCATTAAATGTCATAGACACAATTGACTAAGTGTATTTCATAAGCATTTTATTTTTATCTATGTCATTTATTTTTTCTGTGTTAAGAGACCTATTTTCAGTGCAAATTGAAATTTTTACAATGAAGTTTCTGCTTTGTATTATAGTTTTTACCCCTTGGGATATTAAAGAAACAATCCACAGAATAATAGAAATGGGCATTATGTTATCAAACTAGTAAATGCTCTAGTGTTTTCGCATATTGACTATTGTAACTGTCTCTTTGTCAATCTCACAGCCTCTACCTTACTTCCTCTTCAAAGAGTCCAAGACATGGCGGCCAAAATGATACTTGGTGTATCTAAATACTCAAGCTCAACTGCTGTACTCAAAGAACTCCACATCTTGCCAGTAAAAGTACGAGCTGAATTCAAGCTCCTTGTCATGGTCTACAAGTGTCTGAACAATCTGGCCCCGGACTATTTAAAAAATCTAATTTCATATAACTTAAATAGACGTTCAACACGTTTAGCTACTACTGACCTCCTTCGTGTTCCATTTACTAAAAAACGAACTTTCGCAGACAGGGCCTTCAGTGTCGCTGGTCCTAAACTATGGAATGATCTCCAAGATTCTGTAAAGTCATCTTTAACATTAAACAATCATTAAAAACCCATCTTTATAAGCGTACATTTCCAGAATAAATCAAACTCTGCTAAGAATGATTGAACTGCCACTATCCTATATTGTGTACTATATGTATATTATATTCTTTTTAATACTTACGTGTTTTGTAAAGCGCCTTTGAATGTTGATGTGCAGCAGTAACGAGCGCTATACCAAAGTTCGATCTTGGTTCCTTTAGAACCCAGATCGAACCCAAATTTTATAAACTTAAACTTAACTTAAACTATATAGCTCGAGTCACCAGACACATGTGTAAATGCGATTGGGGTGTATGCAAACCGGATCTAAGCGCGCGTGACGTGATCAAAATGTGTTCGTTTTTTTTCCATTTAATTTTCCGAGAAAAAACCCACACCGGTGAAAAGTGCAATTTGTTTAATGTTACATTAAAACAGTTTCTTCGTTATTGGATTTTATTTTATAGCAATTCTGCGGTGTCTCAGTAAGTAAGACGCAGGTTTGCTCCCTGTTGTCCAACAAAATTCCTCGGGATTTCCAGCGCGGTTTACACTTAACAGTTAACATTGGTGCGAGGATAGTGTCTAGCCGAATGGAACAAAAAACGAGGTTCCGTGTACACATTGGCATGCACCTAAACAGGTGTGTGCCTTTTTTAAAATTAAATTTGCTCAGTCACTGCAGAAAAGTAGGACGTTAAACCTCCTTTCTCATTGCTGTTTCAAATGTTTGCGGAACATAGTCGGGTTATTATCAGTAGTGTAGCTATGCTGTACTGTTGATGGGTGGAAATACCTATTGCAGACACAGACTTGGTTTCAAAACATGTTAAATTTTCCTCGAACTCGATAAACCAACCCTCAAATCCCACTATCAGGAATTGTGTTGGAAAGTTTAGTACTACGAAAATGTAAGAACCGACAGAATGAAAAATCGGGATATTGCAAATTCATAAAGAGTTGACAAATAATGGATTTGAACAGAATCGCCAATATATAAAAAGGGTGTTGTGAGTACCCCAGCCCATCTCTGTATCCGCACATCTCATGAATATGGCAGTAATATCTGTCATATTTTTTTACCACGGCGTTTCCGACACGTCGTCTAGTTTATTGGCATTAAAATTGTCATCGTATTGCTTGGAGACAGATATATATTTAATGATGATCGAGATTAACCTAAAATTGAATCGCTAATAACTAGGTTCAGAGTGAAGCAATTTGACTTAAATTTTCAGCATATTCTGTTTTTATTATCTATTTTTGTAACTATTATAGCGAGAACTGCCAGCTCTTTATATCTCATCTTACCTAATGCCCCTTTAAAGGACAATATTGGTGCCAGTCATTATCACATATGTGATAGAACTGGTTAAACACGTTCCAAATATTATTTTATCACAGAGATCATTGCTACGATAGATGCGTAATCAATGCTTGAACAATCGGAAGTGACGCACGCAAAAGGAAAACACGAGTTATCCCTCTATATAACTGACTGAAGTGACGGGTGATAACAGATACATGGGCGAATTTCTGCTCACTAATAATTCCTTCGAAGACCAAAACTTGTTATATGAGACTGTAAAGCGGCATAACACGTTCAATAAAACCATCAATATTATTGACCCAATATATTTACTCAATAATATTGACGGGAATTGCCCACACACGATTCAATATTTCCATCAATAATTTCATCATTAGGGTTAACCCTAAACTTTGCCGATGCCAAAACGTAAAGACGTACTCGCTGTTTATGCTGATTATTTTATTACTGACAGTATCATTTATCATGTATCAGTTCGAAATGGTAAAGGTCATCGTGTACAAATTGTTGTGCCTAAAAATTTGATTAATTTAGTATTAAAGAAATCGCATGATGATTCGTTATCTGGAGGTCATTTCGGCATTCATCGTTCTATATGCAAAATAACACTTTGTTTTTATTGGCCGAAAATGTATTTAGATATTGTGAACTGGGTTAAATCATGTACAGTTTGTAATCAACGTAAACCACCGCCACAACTTACGAAAGCCAAGATAACTCCCATTCCAGTTGCATCACATCCATTTGAACGTGTCAGTACCGACAGTGTCAGTACTGACATGCTAGGCCCATTTCCAATGTGTCAAGACACTGGAAATTTTTATATTTTAGTTTTCATTGACTATCTGACAAAATATGTGGAACTGATCCCGTTGTCTGGCATTAAAGCTACAACTGTCGCAACAGCTTTTATTGAACAAGTTATCTGTACTCATAGTGTTCCGAGCTATGTTCACTCCGATAGAGGTACAAACTATTTGAGTAATGTTGTTAAAGAGACATGCAAACTTTTAAATGTACGAAAAACACAAACAACGTCCTATCATCCTATATCGAACTGTGAAAGTGAAAGAATGATGTCAGTAATTACAGCTTCATTGTCAAAATTCGTTGAAGATGGTGTTCATAATGAGTGGGATAAACTTGTACCATTTGTGCAATTTTCATACAATATCTCTCCTTGTATTGATAGTACAGAATACACATCTTCCTTTTGGTACATGGTCGCCATGCTAAAACATTGTTGGAAGTCAATCTTCTGAGTGTTGATATTCCCAAAAATGCTGCTTCATATATAATTCCATGATTAGAGGCAATCGAAACGTCCAGGGAATTTGTTATAGAGACTCTACATCAACGGAAGAAAATTATGGAAGAAAAATCCAAACTCAAAACTCATAACCCAGAATTCAGCGTTGATGATACAGTATTTATCTATCTTCCAGTATTAGTTACAGGACAAACGCGAAAATTGCTACGACCATGGACAGGGCCCTATTATATCATCGAAAAGTTATCAGATGTTCATGTTCGTCTTCGAAGGAAAAGCGATGGAAAATTGGTTCATAATCGTGTTCATATAAATCGACTGAAACACGGATATCTAAGGACAACCGAACCAGATGATCCAACTCCACCAGATAATCCAGACAGTATTGAACCAGCAATTCTACATTCAGATGAAATTGCAGATGAAATTCCTGGAGTTCAAAGTGCATATAGTGATAATTCCATGTATAGTTTGATGATTTGACGGAGTCATGTAAAGCTTTAGTGAAAAAGTATTCCAACTTATCCCAAATCTTCACCTAAAAACTGAAATGTTGACAATTTTCATGACCAAAAATTTTCATGTTGCGCTATTCATGGCAGTTGACGATGAACCGCGAAAAAAAAAGATGGAAGGAAAATATCGACACAATTATTGGATCCCCACACACTATCAATATTGTCATTCAATAAATTGACCGTCCGTCAATATATTGATGACCCATCAATAAAAATCAAACTGGTTTTGATCCGTCAATATATTGACGCAATGATGGTTATTGACAATATTTTACATCAATATAGCCCACACACGTTCAATATTGACGGAAGTACGGAACGAGTGTGGGCCGCTTTAGAGAATATCTGACAATTCAAAAAAGTAATTGAATGTCATTAGGTAAGAGAACACGAGAAAAATAGAAACAGTCCGTACATTCACGTGTGTTTATTCATTCTATACTTATAAAAACATGGTAATGCACGGAGTTTTTCTATTTTTCTTTGATGTTCTCTTATCTAGTGACAGTCAATTTTTTTATGAATTGTCAGATATCCTTTCACAGTCTTACACAACAACTTTTGTAAGTGTCGAGTAGGATTATTTGCATTTTCAATTTGCCCCCTTTTTCGCCAATATCTTTTGTTATTCCACTGTTTTACGCATTGTTATAATTTACTTATATATTACTAATTCGGATCCTTTAGAACCTCTTTACTTATTCAATGTCGATGATGCATGTTTATTACTCGATTAACCAGTCACTTTGTGTCTATATAATTTGTGTTGCTTGATAATTATGCACTAGGAGATCGAGATTAAAGATGGCGCATTAAAGATTGTTGATATTTTGTTCTTCCTATAAACCCCCGCTGTGGCCCCCTTGTTACACCCCTAGGTAAAAGGGCTGCCGCAATATAAGTGTAAAATTAGATTAACACTGTACAGTTTCTAATATTCAGTTGATCTCCGACGCATTCCATAATGTAATAGGTAGTTGGTGTTTGATTTCATCAACACCAATTTCACATCCTGATTTTCTCAACACCAACACCAAGATGTCTGTGGTTTGTAATTCGCTTGGTATATTGTAAGACTTTTGTATAATTTTTGCTCTTTAAATTAGTAGCATTGGATAAATAATAGCTTTGGCAAATTATTAGATTCACATATATGTAGTTAAACAAGTTAGCGAATGAGTTGCATATTGTTACATAAAAAAAAGAGTCATAATGTGGTAAACATTCAATTCTAGATTGATAACAGATATCTTGTGGGAAATTCCTCCAGTAAATTTACACTAACCATATAAGGGTGTGTTTCGACGTCATTTGGCTCAGTTAACCAATCTCTCTAATTATTTACATCATATTTGACCAATTAGATAATTGAAGGTCCAAAACCCAAAGCTACTAAACTATCATACTTGTGAGAATTCGTCAGACAGCAGACAGATTCTGGAAGTGAAAAGATGTAACAATTTCTATCAGCAGACTCGCACAGTCAGTCTGGATGGCTAGAGTTTGAGAATGGCTTTAGTATTGTAGTCTATACTATGCTTGTATCTATGTATCCGGCTATGATATATAAAATGTTAAAACGAACTGTCGCATTGTTATTCATGGAAAGACAAACGTCTTAACTGAGAAAACAAGCAAAGCCAACAAGGGAAAAGATGCATGGTTCAAACGTAGGATATGGCGACCGATTCTGGAATACCCCGCTTTCCACGTCTGACAGAAAGACCCATGGTACTATAATATGGTTACATGGGTAATCATTCAGATTAGTGGCTATCCAAAATTTGAGATATTTCTGCCTATCAATTGCTGAGGTTCACTTCATTGGACGAGAGGGAGAGAGAGAGAGAGGGGGAGAGTTTAACGTCCATTTGACACAAACTAGGTCATTTCGGGACAAATACGGTTCAATTTTATTTCAATAATTCGCTTGCACGTAGAGGTTTTTAGCAGGGTGGGGGCGACCGGAGGACCCGGAGAAAACCCACAAAGTTGGACAGGCGACCCTATTCCTTGTCACTTACAACCAGGGAATCGAAACCAATTCGGCCATCCAACCCCCAAGATTTAATTGCGATATCGTGTGAAGCATTGGGGTCATGGAAGAATTATCTGTAAATGGCGTGTTCAATAGTGTGTCCTCATAATTTCCAGCTTATGCATAAATGTGGTGTCTACTAAAGAGACAATCTTATCTGAAATTAACTTATGAACCAAAAAGCAATATCCAGAAACACAAAAAACACCGTTTTGGATTCTATTCATAATTATCTTTATAGTTTAAAATTGAATATAGCAACCTCAAAACACATACATACGACTTTTTACAAACCTATCAAACGGTAGCAAATGACGATTTTATTAAAAGGAATTACACCATTTTTGATTTAATATTCGCGGTCATTTGGAATATGATCATGTTGTATATTAATAAAACATAAATTTCTAGGACTGTCCATCTCTAAATAAGTGTTTATGATGCCCCTGGACAACTGTTTTGATTTGTGGCGAGGTAGGGTAGGTGGTTACAGGTCCGCATGTGTGTAGGGAGGGGGTCGTAAAATTGGCAGGAAATAAGTTCACGTTGATTTAAATGATGACTTGAGTTTGATAAAAACATTACTTTTTAATTTCGCTGCACATCTCTAAATATGTGTATAAGTTTCCTGTGGTATTGGAGGGGGGGGGGTGCAAAATGTATTTTTGGGGACAGTAACCACTTAGTTCAAAACTGACCTGAAGAGTGGCTTTTCGTTAGCTTTTTTTTCATTCAGTACCAATTTCGTCATTCAATATTTATTAAATTATAATGCAATCTGATTAAAACACAGATTCTATTTCGTTCCGTTTTTTATAGTTCAAAATTTCGTCTTCATAACACTGGGATCTGGAAGAGTTGTTATGTAAGCCGCGTTCTGGTTAATGTTAGGGATTAGCCAATGAAACGGTGTGTTACTGCGAGTTCTTAGTCATCGCTGGTTGATTAATCAATGTCTGACGCCACCTCCCATCGACAGTATAAAAAAAACGAAACCAAATATAGATCTGTATTTTGATCAGATTGATTATAACAGTACTTTTCAAGAGATCTGGAAATGTAAATTAAAAAAAACCACAGTAAACAAGAGACATGTTTAGATGTTAGTTTATTCTTATACTCTTCATCAGAAGATTCACAATCAAAATTCATAATATGAGCGAGATAAATATCTTCTTTATGGGTGATCAACAGCTCGCATATATACTTTGGATATGCTTCAGATACCCATTCGCATAGTAAATCTTCATTCCAGCCTGATCACCACCCAGATTCGGAATCTACGCAAAAAAACTGGTCTATAAATTCTCAGCTCGGGTGGCCATTCCTCCCCCCTTCAGCCACCGGACTGATATTGGCTGATAAAATGAGCAAAATTCTATTTTATTGCCAAAAGTAGTAGCAATATTGAAAGAAATTGCTGCCACAATGTGAAAAAAAGAAAACCAAAATTTATTTTTGTCAAACTCGTTTATTTCGGCATATTTCGCTTCTACAATCACCTTGTGAAGAATTTAACAGGTAATTATTTATTGTCCCAGCACTATAACACACTGGCTACAAGATGTCATCGCTGTAACAAACTCCATTGAGGCTGCCATATTGGTCGAATTTGTGTATAAATTGAACCAAACATCATTGGTTTCTTTTGCAATTTCTTTTTAGATAAAACGTTATCCCTTTCCGTCTATTAAGGAAAAACGTCGAAATATTGGACGTTTAAGGATGCATTATTCAAGCGCTAAATCTGCCTAATGTAGTTCTTTTTTTTAGTCTCAAATGTTAAATAACCTATTAATTAGTTTGTTTACATGTCAGACCCAACTCTCTAGAATTTCGGGTGGTTTTGATTTTGAACAGATTTAAATACGATTGGTATGGATAATCGAATTTTTTTTCTTATTATTGTAACAACAGTAGCAATGACAATCGAGGCTTCACTGTTCTTCCAAGGACAATAACTACATTATCTTTTTTTTAAATATTATAGCCAAAACTGTCATCTTTATCTAAATCTTATATAATGCATCTTTAAGTCGTTCATTTATTAAATCTAGCTTAGGGTTACAGAGGTTCGTCATAACGACGTGTAGGCCCACGTGTAGGCCCGCGTGTAGGCCAACCGTATTTCCGGAATCTCAATTTCTTTACTTTACGTCCTGCTAGTGATTGTGTTGGTCGCAGGTTTCCTTTATCTGAAATAAGGTCTCCGGTAAATCTCGATTCCAATGCAGCTAAAGAGTTCAACTGAAATATAAAAAAATACGTGTTGTATAAAATGTTTTAAATCAATTACATTTGTTCTCTAGGATACTTTACAACCTGTGTAACACACCTTTTCTCGTGAACCGCAACAATTCCCAGAGATAAGTCTTTTCCGTAGCTCAACTTTTAAAGATGTTAATAAAATCACTTCTGGTGTATTTTTTCTATAATTCCAAGATGGTGAGCCTGCCCAAATCCAATATTTCAGATGTGGCCATTTTGAATTCAAAATGGTGGCCCGACCTAACGTCGAGTCGCTTGTGCCCTTCTCTGATTCGAAAGAGAGCATGAAAGACTACCTTTATGCCAATATAGTTCTACTTTTGTCAAAAAGTGAACTACTGGGAAATCTATTTGTTGCCAAATAGGTCAATGTTTGCTCATTTTTCACAATCTTGAAATTTTAACGTAGTCATAAATTTTGATTGAAACTTGTCCCTATAGGAACTATAGACCTGGAGTCTACGTTACCTGTTGATGAATTCGCCATTATGTGTGGTTTAATGATCGAGAGCGAGACATTAAGTAATTACTGAAACATACGAGTGACGTAGTCACGAGTACTTGTTTCAATATATTACGCAATGTCTTAACTTAAAATACAGACACTCGGATGTGCTTTGTAATGAAATACATCGAACGGGTCCAAAATTTTAACTAGTATAAATAATGTACGCTTGGCACATTGCCCGTACTATTATTTGAAATAATGATACGCCAACATCACAGGATGATGTGACATCTGTATTTTAAATAAACTTGAGGCCCCTTTAAATCGAGTTCCACCAAAGAAGGTTATCTCAGCCGAGCGTCTATTGTAAACCAAATATCCATGGTTTAAAGAATATAACTGGGCATATATTAATATAAATGAAGTTTATATTTTATCTTATTTCCATTATGATTATAGTTTCAATAAAACAGTGTATGTATACCATTAGTTTAAGTTCTTTCGAAGGATTTCATTGTAGATTAATATGGTATAAAGTGGATTTGAAAGAGACGTAAAGTTTTAAGCATAATGCAGATTTTTCTGCAATTTCTAATAATTGATCTCCTTTATTGGAGGGGGGGGGGCAAAATCGAAACTAATATAATGATAACCGAAGGTCTACTCTCTTTGACGGGTTTTGGAGCCACTGTAACCGTAGTTTTCGCTACTTATCTCTTTATTGTCAATCACTTGATGATTTTCCAAGTGGAAACGCGCAAAAATCCCCCCTGCATCGTATAATATTACCGTTTCGTCGCTTATTCTGGTTGGTTCTTCTGCAACTAACCAGGTGACAGCTTCAGTACAAGTTGGAGATGTTAGAGAACCCTCATAATTATAGTATATAGCGGATTCAGATAACAGCTCATTTGGGTTTAAATAAATGTTTTCTGCATGGTCTCCTGAAAATTAAATATATAGTTATTAATTAATGCTGACGATCATAATAATATACTACATATTGTTAAAGTTAAAGTTGCAATTGCAAATTTTCAAGTTATATTTTTAAAATATATTAATATAAAGCCTTAAAATAGATGGTATCCATAAACAGTCCTAACTTGTTAAGGAATAATCCTATTAATCCTATAATTCGCTATTGCCAGCTGAGAAATTGGCAAAAATATCATTTTTAACTTCAAATCCCAACGTTGGAAAATGGCTGCCCCATGTTGTCAATAGCAAAACAGGGGAGGTAATTGTGTTGTTATTTCCTGTGTCATAGATTTTTAAGGGTGGGAAATAATGCCCATGACCGTATAATAGTGATTTGATAACCTATTGAGCAAAAGACATAGAAATAATTATGTTTTGACTTTTTTTTAGAAAATTTGAAATTCTCGCTTTAAGTGAATAATGCTTGTGCCCTATTCGGTGGAGATTATGTGTCTTAGGACCAGTGGTGTTGGATTTTTTTTTAATATTTAATGCTTCTTTTCAAAAGGGTTGAATCGAATTTCCAGGTTAGTTGGCTAAAATGATAATTCACTCAGTGATGAGTTTGCTATCCATTTTACTCCCAGGTAGAACGCCCCGATGAGTTCGAGATCATTGATATCCGTGGTTGTAGTTCAGAGTGATACATGTTTATGTTTCGATCAATTACACATAACAAAATGAAGAAAACCGGCGGCCTTCCAAAGTATCTGTGCATTGTAGCGAGAAATTTTTTATTAGGTGTTGGTACATACCACATTTGGACTCTTTAGTATGCAACAAACATTTCCTCATTTTTTTTTCTTCTGAAGGAGAGTCAGGAAACATTGGTGTCACCGCTGATCTACATCTACCATCTTCTTCGAGGTTAAATATTCTTCTAATAAAGGTCAATATATTCTCCAAGAAACAAGCATTTTCTATAAATATAATAATTCAAGTCATAGTCACATTAAATCTTATAATTTAATCAAAGCCTTAGTGATCGAGAGAACCAATGAAGGACTGGGTTAGCAAGCAAGCTTATCAGCTTGAATTGTAGTTTTGCTCACGGCATACACGAAATGAAATGAAAAGAAATGGTGTTTAACATCCCACTGTTCTGCCCCGACTGGGCTAATGAAGACGGTCATGGCATACACACATTTCAGCGTGAGGGTATATTGTGAACGCAATAGACGCTACGGGTTTAAACGGATTTATAGAAACAGTAGTGGCGCAATGGGCCGTGAAAAGACAAAACCTGTCGATTTTCAGCGTTTTCGACCTTCAGTTCCGAAGATACGCATCTTTTAATCACAGCCCTGTGAACGCAATATATCCCAGTACTTTCTGTTCTAGAGATTATATTGCGGCCCTGGAAAATCCTTTGCACACGACAGAGATGACCAGATTTCTACAAGTTCTTCTGTTAGATAAGCTGCTCACTATGACCATCTTTTTGTTGAGTATATCTGCTGTAAGGGCATACTTTGACACCGTGCGCAGCTATCATTTTATTCTACAATATTCGTTTCTCCCACTATAAAACAGCACTATCAAAATAGCTGTGTTTTACAAAGTGATAGTGTATTTTAATAAATCTTGATATTAAATTACTTACCTTCGTCATCGAACTCTGTAACCTCGTCCAGTTGGTTGAATATCTGTTCAAATGCTGGACTTTTTGAACCCTCTTCTTTCTAAAAGAAAAAGATAGCAAGTTAATGTTTCGTATGACATAATGTGTAAGTCATACTACGATAAATGGTAAGTGTTAACTGAAAGTACCAGTTATAGTCGAAAATTGTTGCCGGACGTATTTTTTTTTTACCAATTCCCGAGTGACATGGGTTCATCTATGGCTGTCATTCAAGGTTAAGTACAGTCCAAAAACATAATATTTTACACAAACCACTATTAAATGAATATAAATTAGCACTCTGGCACCACATTTAAGTGGTAGATCTGCTACACTTCTGTATATTATGATGTACTTACCGAGAACAAAATCGCCACAACTACAATACCACCCGGGTGTATACTAGCTTCTGACAAATTGTTAAAATCGGAACGATGGTGGACAAGGTGAGCCTATAACACAAGAAAACAGTAATAATATATAATAAGTTGGATTAATATAGAAGCCGTTGTACTGGTGTTTCATATTATTGATGCAATACCCGTATGTTTATCCAGTTAATCGCTCTAATCAGAATTAAATTTAACCTTCACAAGTATAAACAACAGCTGCAAGTCTTGATATAAACTCAAACATTTCATTTGGACAGAAAGTGAGATGGGCAATTTAACAGGAGCATCGCAGTTAAAACAATAATGTTTACTTTCATTACAATTTAAGACAGGGTTTACATAACACCTACAAAGCAGAAGATATCCACAGTGTATTCTAAATTAAACTAAGCATTATATGTTAAAATCATTATCAATGTTAGAGAAAGTTTTGATGTCCTTTAAACGTTACCTCTGCGTCAAAGTTTTCGCCACCAATTGTATGTTCAGTTTGTCTGTCGTCTCCACGTGGACCAAAATGGAGGTGAACATTGTCGAGGATGTACGATCGACGGCTATTAGGCACGCCATACAGCTTGACGTCCTCATCCTCGGGTTCAAATTTGGGGTTAATACCTAAAATACAAAAAATGAAACCGTTTACACCCCATTTTCGATTGACATTAGAACATGAACAATGAAATACACAGGAAGTAGTTTAGGGTATAGGACATACGCTGGACTAATGACATACCTGCTGATACACCCATTTCAGCAATCGTCCTTGCCATCCGCACATTTAAAATGACTATACTTTGTCATATAACCGATTTTATATTCAACTATGGATGCAGGAAGCCGAATTGAAACTAATAATTCAGCTTTATCATTTGAAGCACAGAGCATTCCAATTCAATACCTTATAAAGGTTTACTTCCTTTGAGTTACGCTTGTGGGATCTAGTGCATTGTTGCAAAGTGTGTAAAAGGGGGGGGGGGGTGATTTAGAATTAGTCATGATTTAATCCTAGATTTGTCATGTTTTACAGAGAGAGAGAGAGAGAAAGAGAAGAGAGATGGGGTTTAACGCCCACTCGACACAAACTAGGTAGGGGTCTTTAGTAGTGGGAGGAAACCAGAGGACCCTGAGAAAACACAATTAGACAGGCAACTCTACTCCTTGTCACGTACAACCGGAGATTCGAAACCACGCCTTTTGACTCAATGACAGGCCTTATGATACAGCGCACACGTGCTAACCATCCGCCCATCCAACCCCTCTCATGTTTTACAGCTAGCAACATACCTGGGTTCTGTTTCACGAAATTTTAACTAAAGATAAAATCCAAATTTTAGTAGATACTTCAATTTTGATTGGCTAAGTACTACAATCAGTCTAATATTATCCAATCAAATTACTAAAATTTCGATTTTATCTTAGTTAAAATTTCGTGAAACAGGCCCCTGGTAATTGTGTACCATTAGTAAAGGTTATCGGTTAATAACTGAAGGGTATCAGTTCCACAGTGATGCCGCTATTGTTCAGAAAATTCCCGACACCTGCCACGTTGGAAACGGGCTTTTTGCGCTTTCGATACATTATATCAAAAAGTAAATGATTACCATTATTTATTAATTCTCCCTTAATATGGCTGCGTCTATATCTCAACTTGTTCCTGACACGATACGTGCGGTGGCTAACTGGTATGTCGATTGGCGACTGGAATGAGTTTCGTTCGTCACAACATTTATTAAGGGGAAAATCAATCTTGAACCAACACTGAGGACCTACAAAAACACCAAGAGTTAATATTTATCAGTGATAAAAACCAACACAGGTGATTTAAAAGAAATGTATTACATATTACAAATATAGATATAGATGGGTGGGGTAAAAGGCTGCCTTATCTACCACAAATTGCTTCTCTTACCACTCCTTTCAAGGGTCATACTATTTTCTATTTGTCAAATCCCTTCCGACTAAAATCATTGGTTTAAAACATATTCTTCTAATAATTGACAGGGTATTTGTAAGGTTATATGTGTATATACATCTTCACGCAGTACACATAACATAGGAGGCAACATTTAATAAATACGCTTGTAATTATACCACAAATACTATAATCAAAAATTTTTAATATTTTTTTTGTCCAAATATAGACTGTTGGTTTATCCTTTACATCTTCGTCAATCCCATCCATGTATTTATAAAAAAAAAAAACAATAAATACTATTCTTATTGTCGCAAGGTAACAACTGACTTCTTTAATTAAATAAATTTCAATAATGTTAAAATAACACATTTCTTCTTCCCTATAATTTGTTTAATTCCAGCTGATTCGGAAAATTCATTCCTAATGAAAATAATGCGCCTGACTCCAAACAAACCTTGACTGTTTGGACAAAGAGCGTAGCGCTGTTTCGTCTCTAATGTGATAAAAAAATTAAAATAGTACCAAGGCTTTTTTTTTTTTTTTTTTTAATTTTGTGGTTGATTAATTTACAAAAGAGAGTATTATAAAAGTGTTAGAGGTGTATACATTCACAAAAGAACGGTTAAAGTTAATAAACTTACCCTAAGTGATGCAGTGCTAATTACAATTTATTTTGAAATCTATCGTGTAAAATACAGTAATCTTAAAACTTACCAATTCCCGAATCCGGATCATACGAAAAACAAGATTCATCTTCTAGTTGACATAAAGCTCTTTCACCACGTGGTGTTGGATGCGGGTGAAAGTCATTGTAGTGGCCCGGTAGATAATGTGTAGCTAGTCTCAAAGCTTTCCTGGCGTAAGAAGTGCTGAGATCGAAGTTAATTGCCAGTGACTGTTGTGCCAAGCACACAACGCCCAACATCAATACCGCTTTGAATGCCATCATGTATCAATGCCTGATATCTCGAACTAGAAGATAAGCCTAAACTGATCGTTCAATGCCTGTCTTCTGCCAAAGGATAGAATACGTCGGCTATTTATATGGCCTTGAAACCATAAATTATATAGACAGAATTGATTAAGCGACTTCAAAAGAAATTTAAGTTTATATAAGCATTTTTTTTTATCTATGTCATTTATTTTTTCGGTGTTAAGAGACCTATTTACAGTGCAAATTGCTTTGTATTATAGTTTTTACCCCTTGGGATATTAAAGAAACAATCCACAGTATAAGAGAAATGGCAATTATGTTATATAACTATTCAAAAAAAGTAGGGGATATTTGATTTGCTGTGATGACACGATTTCTCAAGGCCAAGGTACGGATAAATCGATCCTGGGCTTGAGTTGTCGCCCTTGGTCGACCTGAGCGTGGTCTGTCCTGTACAGATTGTGTATCACGGTATCTGGACCATAGCCTGCTTATGACAGACTGAGAAACATTCATCGTCCGCGCCACAACCGCCTGTGTTGTGCCGATCTGTAGCATGCCAAGGGCACGTAACCTTTCATTTTGGGTAAGCCGACGCATATCAAAATTTGTTTTCTGGTCACTAAAACAATTAAACTGATGTTTCCACCCTGGAATTCAATGCCACAATGACTGTAACATTCAAAGTCAGAGTCGTGCAAATCTTGGGTTGGACCCCCATGATGATCCCAAGCATCACCTGCATTCCATTTGAATAGTATATTTACACATGTGTAAATGCGATTGGGGTGTTTGCAAACCAGATCGTAGGGAGCGTGGCGTGATCAAAATGCGTTCGGACTTCTTCCATTTAATTTTCAGAGAAAAAAAACCCCTGAAAAGTGCAATTTGGTTAATGTTACATTGAAATAGTTTCTTCGTACTTGGTTTTATTTTATTCTGGGGTCTGCGGTGTCTCAATGAATAATGAAATCCTCGGGATTTCAAGCGCGGTTTACTCTTAACAGTTACAACTGGTGCGAGGATAGTGTCTAGTCGGATGGAACAAAAAACGAGGTTCCGTGTACACAGTGGCATGCACGTCACCAGGTGTATGCCTGTCTTCATTAAATTTGCTGTCACTACAGAAAAGTATGACGTTAAACCGTCTTTCTCATTGCTCTTTCAAATGTTTGCGGAACATAGTCGGGTTATTATCAGTAGTGTAGCTATGCTATGCTGTCGATGGTTGGAAATACCTATTGCAGACACAGACATGGAAGGACTCAGAAAATAAATGGATTTAAAACATGATAAAATTTTCCCCGAACTTGATAAACCAACCCTCAAATCCCACTATCGGACGAAAAAGATAAGGACCGACAGAATGAAAAATCGGGATATTGCAAATTTAGAAATAGTTGACAAATAATGGATTTGAACAGAATCGCCAATAGATAAAAAAAAAAGTGGGGTTTGGTACCCCTGCCCATCTCTATATCCGCAACTTAAGAATGTGAGTTATACAATCTCATGAATATCTGTCACATTTGTTTTTGTCACAGCGTTTCCAACACGTCGTCTAGTTTATTGACATTTAAATTGTCATCGTATTGCCTGTAGACAGACATTTATTGTTTCACTCTTTTGTTTATCTTAGGTAAATAGAACACACGTGTACGAATGACTAAGCGCCAACGCAATCAATTATTTTTGAATAGTTAACTTCATGAACTTCAAGTAATGTGGTTATGCCATAGAGACTACAGTATTAAACACGTTTTCATATTTGATGCGAAGCATTCAAACAGCGCGAGCTCGAACCCTATCGATATTCAGTTCTTTAACTCTCTAATTAGGGGCCCGATTCTACCAGGAAACAGCACAGTCACCGGCGTTTAATGGTTTATAATCATAACCCCTCTTATACAGTCTTTGATCATGAATTCTTTTCACTCCTAGCTATTTATTTGTATCATATTAGTGTTAGCTTGTGCTGGATATGGAAATTCTGTATACTTCTTGTTCTTGACAGCCGCATAACTGCTTTAGGAAGCCCAAGTCTACCAGCCTCACAATGTTTAAAGAAAATATCGTAAACACCTTTTATAAAAGACTTGTCCATCACAGATCCATTTCACATTCATGTACTTTGTTTTGTTAGTTCCTATTATATTTCTGCTTAACATTTATTTCTGATTTTGATGTCATATAAATTTGTGTTTTGATATTCTTCTTTTGTTGGGATATTACTTTTGTTCTTTTATTTAATGTCTTTCGTGGTTATATTTGATTTATTAATAAGCACACCTGAACACGTAATGTTTATCAATCTGTTTCACAGACTATTACGAAAGTCTTCTCTGTAAAATTGGACTGCCTTCAAAACATGACGTCATATCACGCGGCGTCAACCATTAGCTCAATGGCGCGTGGATTGTTTACACAAGACGTTACTGATTCCAGCAGAATGGCGCCTTTTACTCATTTTAATACCCATTTACACTAAAATAGGAAATAATGTTTACGTACAAATACTTTAAACATCTTTATTTATATTTCTAATACATCAAAAAAATGTTTTAGAATTTAATTTGTCGGAGGAAAAAAGTTAATATATATTATTATTACAAAATTTATATAGCGCCCCTTTCACAGATGTGTTCAAGGGCACTTTACAGTGTAACAAAAACATACATTCAAAAAGTAAATAACATCAAAAAAGTTAGAAATACATTAAATAAGCAATTATTGCTAAAAAAAAAAATACATACAAGAACTACAATAGACAAAATAATAGGTGTTAAAATTTGTTATAAGCCTTTAAAAATAAGAAGGTTTTAATCTGTTTTTTAAAATTAAATAGTGATGACGCAATTCGAATATTAATAGGTAATTGATTCCATAAAATAGGCGCTTGATAACTAAAAGAACGTGCCCTGTAACTAGAAAGATTTACAATTTTTTGCTTTAAAAGCAATTTATCAGATGAACGTAGGGTTCTGTCTGGGGTATAAAATTCTAAAAGTTCAGATAAATAATTTGGTGCTAAATTATGAAGGCATTATATCAAACATAATTAAAATAATCACCCCTTAGCATTCAAAATTGGGTTATATTTAGCGATAAAGTTGCTTTGTTTTGTTTCCAAGAGATCATTATCACTAATATTGAGTTTGTACAAAAGAAAAATCTTGAATTGACCTTTACCACAAATATCCAAATGTTCGCTCACCGTCAAAACTCTTATTTCTTGCGAGTTTTATATTAGAACGATGTTGGTTAATTCGTAAATTCAACTGATCAGTAGTTTTTCCAATGTACTTGCCATTACAACCATTACATATTAATAAGTAAATTACATACTTCGATTTGCAATTCATATTTTGTTTAACATAGAATTTAACATCTTTAGTAGTTTGGACAAATGTTCCTTCTAATATATCAGAACATATCGTAAATTAAAATACATCCTAAATAATTCAAAAATACGTTAAAACTGTCAAATCGAAATCTCTCCGATTTATTTTCACAGCGATTGATATAAATAATGATACTAGTTATCTGAAACACAATTGAATAGTTTCAGTGTTGGACTCCAGCCTGCAGGTCGCGTGGATTTCCGAGAGTCCCAGTCTAGGAAAACCGACGTTAACCTGTGACGGGAAACACATATTTGACGACGAGATTAAATGTTCGCAAATTTTTTATGAGTTTTTATGAATTTTGCCGGAACATGGACGCAGATAAAACCGACGAATGCATTGTACATAGTAGTTCATAGGATATATATGTCGTATTGGTAAATGTTAGCGGGGAAAATTTTGGCAGGCTTTGTGACGTGGCCTGCAGGCTGGAGTCCAGCCATGGAACTATTCAATTGTATTTTTCAGACAACTATATCATTATGTATAGCATTCGTTGCAAAACTAATTCGGAGAGATTTTGATTTAACAGTTTTTACGTACTTTTGAAACAGGCTCCGAAGCGTTTTGGTTCTGTTATGCAAGATCATTTTCGACGTTCCAAAGTAAAAGTTTTGTGCTAAGACCACCTAAAGATAAATTTTAAATGTTCCTATTATTAATTAAAACAGGTTTCGCGTTAGTTTTTATATTTTACGCTGACATTTATTACTTTAAATCTTCCTAGTGCTAAAACGGAAAATGTGACCTTTTGACCTCTTGGGTCACAAAGAACAAAGGTGAATTTAGCAAGTTTACATTTTTATTGAAAGTGTGATTACTTTCGATAATTTTCAGCTTATTTTCATGATACAAGAATGACTGCGCGTTCACTTTCAGTGCAAATGAACCCATTTGACCTTTGACCCCGAATATCTCGAAAACGCCCCAACGGCGGACTGATTACCACTCGGCATCGTATTCTACGCAAAATTTCACTCTAGAAATATTGGGTCTGGTTTTGTGCCCATTTGATGGACACCCCCTCCCCCCCCGCGCTGAGCCTCCAGACTAAACCAACATCGTTCTAATATAAAACTCGCAAGAAATAGAGTTTTGACGGTGAGCGAACATTTGGATATTTGTGGTAAAGATCAATTCAAGATTTTTCCTTTGTACAAACTCAATATTAGCGATAATGATCTCTTGGAAACAAAAGAAAGCAACTTTATCGCTAAATATAACCGAATTTTGAATGCTAAGGGGTGATTATTTTAATTATGTTTGATATTTAATTAATGTTATTTCGTTTTAATTTTTATATTTCACATAGTCATTGTCCTCTGTTATGACGTAACGTTATTGTAACAGCATAGTAACGCATTCAAATGGCCTGACGATTCGTTTGATAACGATGAAAGTACTAGCCAAAAGTTATTTTTTAGCGTTTTTTCTCTAATACCTGAATTTTGCTTACACACACACATATATATATATATATATATATATATATATATACATATGGATCACAAATCATTTAAAAATGCTTTAATTTATTTGTAGACAAATGCAGAACGATGATTAATGGGAAAACAGCATGACTAAAATACAAATCAAATTACTTTATGCACCCTTTGAGAGACAGCTAAGTTGTGAAAAATCTAACAATACGTTATTAATG